CGCTGATCAAGAATATATAAACTTTGTAATGTCTAAAATTATAATTTCGATAAGTTACAAACGGAATGACGAACTGAATACACCCTCCATACTATGTATGATGGAGGATATAAAAATAATTCATAATTTGTCCTTATTGCGTCAAAAATACCTAGAACCAAACTTCAAATATCACCCCACGATATTTTTTTAATATTCAAATGCTAAACTTGAAAAAAATCTGTTTATAATGTAGCTGAAATAAAATACCAAATATAGGGAGGTACCATACGTGAACCTCACAGACAATTTTCTGGCATAGGCTGTAGTATCCATTACGAACTTCAAATACAAAATTTGAAATAATTCAGGTAAATAATGTCGATAAAATCATCCAAATACCCAATATCGGGGGGTACAGTTACATGGGGGCTATACGAAGACGTAGACCTACATAGCTCATTTTCTGTCTTAGGCTGTGGTATCCATTGCGAACTTCAAATACCAAATTTGAAACAATTCCGATAAATATTGTCGCTAAAATCATCAAAATACCGAATATCGGGGGTACCGTTATATGGGGGCTATACGAAGACGTGGACCTACATAGCCCATTTTCAATACCAAAAGTCCTGCAGACATAATACACATTTGAGTAAATTTTTATCAACTTACTTCTTTTCGTTCGGAAGCTAGAGTGATTTCCACAGACGGACGGACATTGATAAATCGACATAGAATTTTATGCTGATCAAGAATATATATACTTTGTGGGATCTAAAATGTATATTTCGAGGTGTTACAAACGGAATGACAAAATTAATATACCCTCTATACTATGTAGGTATGGTGGAGGGTATAAAAAAGGAAAAACTAACACCATTTATGTAATCAATTAAAAAGTAACACATCCAGCAGCTGTCAAACTGTCACACCAAATTCCCACAATGTGGACAAAAAATTATAATGAGATATCTGCAAAAACCCAAACAAAAATCAAATCAGAAAACCCCTGCAAATTTTTTTGCAAATCTGTTTTTGCTTTTGGAAATGCAAATGCAATTCAATTTGAATATGGAATGACGATTTGAAATGACAATGCAAGTGCCTTAGTGGCTATGGTGACTGGCTTTCGCTGTCACTGCTGCTATTTAAGGGGTGGAACATTTTTTTACCAAGTGTTTGTCATAGCCATTAACATAAGTGTTATGAACTGGCGATACCCACGCATACCTACATACACATCTATACAAGTATTTACACTCATGTCCATATGTGTGTGTGACTGACTGCATTATGTAAATTATTTTGTAAAAATTAAATAAACAACACAACAAAATGGCTTTATTACTGTTGTTGTTGTTGTTATTGTTATTGTTCGTGCATCTGATGTCCCCCCAAACAAACTTGACCTTTAACTACTGTCTTTTCAGAGGCGAGACATTTATGAGTATTTACTCTTTGTCATCAACTCCCATGGTGGCATGGCCATTTATCAGACGCATAAAGATGTAAAAGCATCCAAAACCACCCATTCCTCCATCCATCCGTCCGTCCACACAAACAAACCAACCAAGCAACCAAAAAAATATTAATTGATCAAATAAAAGTGCCATTGAAGTTTATTTTATTTTCATAATGGATCGCAAGGTAATGGCGGAAGACGCGAGGAAATCAACATTACGCCGATATCTAAATCAATTATCACCAGGGCGACAAAATAAATATTCCATTTTAGTTTCTTTGGCTTTTTGTGATTTCGTTTATTTTTTTCTCGGTTTCTTTTTTGATGACGTTTGAGTTTTACAAGTGCTTGAATTGAAAATGCAAAATACACAAAAAAACTAAATTTATTGCTTAGATATTGAAATCGAAATGGAATTGTAATTTAAGAACCAAGTTCTTTTTTTTTTTTTGGATTTTTTTAAGCAACAAAAATGTCTTATGGAGCAAATATTTTAAAGCTTAGCAAAAGTTTGAAAATTTTGTGAAATAAAACAACAATGTGTAATTTGTTAATAACACTGTGGGACAAAATTATATATATTTTTAAATTATAGGAAAAAGGGATTAGATTTTAAAAGTAGAGCTAAAAATATGAGACACATGCAAGGGCGTTTTTATACCCTCCACCATACATAGTATGGAGGGTATATAAAGTTCGTCATTCCGTTTGTAACTCATCGAAATAATCATTTTAGACCCAACAAAGTATATATATTCTTGATCAGCGTAAAATTTAGCCCTGTCCGTCCGTCCGTCTGTTGTAATCTCGCTCGAGTCGAAACGAATTAACATAGGAAGCTAAAATTTTCTACATATCAATCTTTTATCTGCAGGCAGGTCAAATTCGAAGATGGGCTATATCAGTACACGATACCGTATAGCTCCCATATAACGGTACCCGCCGATATTCGGTATTTTCATGATTTTTACCACATTTTTCAATGGAATTGTCTGAAAATTCACAAAAGGAGTTTCTTTTGAGTACTTTAATCCCTGGAGAAGAATTGCCTATATAGGTCCACGATATCGTATAAACCCCATATAACGGTACCTCCCAATATTCGATATTTTGATGATTTTAGCGACATTATTTACCGGAGTTGTTTCAAATTTTGTATTTAGAGTTCGTAATGGCCACAATATTATCTATGCAGCTCTAGGTCTTCGTATATCCCCCATATAACGGTACTTCCCAATATTCGGTATTTTGATGATTTTAGCGACATTATTCACCGGAATTGTTTCAATTTTCATATTTGAAGATCCTAATAGGTACTACAGTCTGTGCCATGAAATTGAAACTCTTCGCCCCCGTATTACGATACTTCCTTATATTTGGTATTTTGATGATTTCAGCAACATTATTCACCAGAATTGACAGAAAATTATATATGCATGTCCAGGTCATCCTAAAGCCCCTAAATATGACACTGACATAATGGGTAGACTGGCCTTAATATTCCGTAGTAGTTATTTTATCTCCAACCCAACTTTCCCAAATTCAGACTGCTGTCATTTTTAAGCCACTCGTCCGACAGCTGTTAAAATTATTCCAGTGACAGCTCATTATATTGTTTACAAGCGTACAAAAGCATTTTAGTAAGAGTTTTCCAGAAAAAAAGTTATTCGTGATGTAATTCAACGTGATTTCTTTATATGGCTGGAAAACCACAAGCGGCTATCGTTAGAGCACTCCAGCATTTAAATCTGAATAAATCGTTTGTGTCTCGTACCATCGCTCGTTACCGTAACACTGATAGCATAGCCCGACGTCAAGGAAGAGGACGGAAGAAAACAGCAGCATCAGCAGAAATGGTTCGAAAAGTAAAAAAGCGACTTGATCGAAACCCACTTCGCAGTGGCCAAAAAATGGCTAGTGAGCTGAACATATCGCAATTTTCCATTCGGCAAATATTGAAAAATGAGCTCGGCATAAAGCCATTGAAATTCCAAAAAGTGCAAGAACTTACACCGCAACAGAAAGAAAATAGACTCAAAAGAGCTAAAGAGTTGTTTCGCTTGGCCGAAAGTGGTGAACTGTCGAATTTGGTTTTCTCCGATGGGAAATTCGTTGACATTCGTTGTCCAGCAGTTTGTAAACAAACAAAATGAGGTCTGCTGAAAATGTGCATCTTCGGTTGGCCACCAGACCACTCAAGCGCCGGCCATGGTGATGGTGTGAGCCGCCATAACAGCGGATGGTCGCTCTCCGCTCGTATTAATCGAACGTGACATTAGAATAAATAGCGAATATTAATGCGAAAATATTGTGGAGGGTATATTAAAGCCTTGAGCATCAGAATAAATGCCGAATATTATCGGCAGGAGGGAGGATGGAGGCCAACATTTTGGCCGCAGACCTTGGACATTCCAACAGGACTCAGCACGCGCCACCCAAGAATGGTTACAAAATGAGGTTCCTCGCTTCATTTCCAGCGCATAATGGCCATTAAAATCTCCGGATACCAATCCGTTGGACTATTATGTCTGGAGTATTTTGGAAAGCAAGATTGACACTAAAAAATACCAAAGTGTCGATCGCCGCAGAGCAAAATTCGGGCAGCGTGTGACGGTTTCATTGGCTGTTTGAAGGCCATAATTCGTGCCAAAGCTAAACTTATTGTAAAATCTGATGCTATTTCCGACCTTTTTACCTTCTTTCGAAAAAATTTCAAAATTATGGCGTTTGAATTTGTTGCAGTTTTTTTATCTCACCCTACATATACTTTGTAGGATCTATCATGAATATTTCGAAGAGTTACAAATGGAATGTCAAAGTTAATATAACCTCCATAGAATGGTGGAGGGTATACATATGTGAAAATGTCACTTTACATTTGACACTAACATGGTGTGTAGGCTGTCTTTAAATCCCGTAGCAGTATGTGATATTTTATTTGTCCCTTTCAATACGAAAAAGAACTGAAATGTATAGTATAATTATTGAACTTTCCTCAATCCAACACAGTTCGAGTTTAATGGTCTAATGATCGAAATATAAGTAACTATTATGACAAATTTAAATATTTCAACTAAAACGGAAATTTGTCATTTTCCCTGAATTAAAAGTTAAGGTATCTACTTTGTATGCCATATTGTTCGAAATATTGCCATGATGACTAAAAAAAAGTGGAAGCAACATACGTAAAGGTTTGGTTGGATTCCTTATCTAGGAAAATAAAAACAATATCAAAACGATAAGATAAATAAACATCTGTCAACACACATTCACACACACACCGATAAATTCATGGCGATACAATTACAAAACTCAGGGGAGACTTTTTGTCATTCACAAAGAATTTCTACTGTAGACGATTTGAGAGTTTCAGTTCAGCTCAAGATATTGCTTTTTAACAAGGTTTTCAAGTGCCAAAGACGGTAGTTTTATTATCTTCGCTCCTCAACGCTGCTGAGTACAAAGAAATATTTATTTTAAAAATTTTGCAATTTCAGCAAAAAAAAAATTAAAATAAATAACGAAATAATAAAACATGATCTTATCTTTGTTCTAGAATTAAAATCGCTGCCTGAAATTTTGGAAATAAAATGTAAATACCTACGCCCACAATAGAATAGCAAAAAAACGCGAATTCAAAATGTCAAAGCTAAAACGAAACTGGAAAAATGTGCTAAACCAAAGTTTATGGATAATTTATACGCTCCTAGTATTGCCAATTTCGACGGGTGCTCAAATATGGCCCCATGACAACAGTGTCACCATTTCGCCCAGTATCTGTATCTCGTACGAGGCGCAATTTATCTGTGATTGTAAGATGGTTAATGAGGTAAATTTTCACCTTTAGTTTTCATAATTTTTTTTTCATTTAAAGTAATTTCTCTTTTCGCTTAGCATTTAGTGTTGCCCCACCTAATCGGCTCAGCCTATCAACTGGAGATACGTAATTGCCAATCATTAACCATAGAATCCAATGCCCTGCAGGAGACACAACATTTACATAAAATCATTTTTAAAAATGTTGAAAATTTAGTGCTTAGCCAACATTCTCTAACATTGCCGGACTACAGCAGCAGTACACCTTTGATTTTGTCCTTTGAAAAGGTGAGATTTGATTCATTTTGTATTGAATTTTGAAAAAATACTTTTTTTTATATATATTTTTCAGGTCAAAATAAAACTAATCGATTCACTTGCCATCAATGGACAAATTGAGGAAATCACAATTGTCGACAGCTATATAGAGTCTATAAGACCCTTTGCTTTTAATATTTTAAAAAATAATGCCCTACGGCTGACCATGGATCGGGTGCAGATCAAACGTATTGAGCCACAGGTATGACGCAAGGAATATATATAAAACAAATTGGAACTAATCGTATGTAACATTCTGAAAATATTGATCATTTTAAAACTCGAACATTTTCAAAATAAGAAATTTGAAATTTTTTGGAGAATTAGAATTCTCTTTAAAGAGTCTCAAGACTTTATACCGGCCAAATATAAAGACTCTCCTCAGATCACATATCATCACTCAATTCAGGTCGGGTCTTAAACTACCATCTCTGATCCCCTGATTTCCTAATTATAATATACATGAGGCTTCTTCAAGGTAGTCGTTAAAACAAATCAATCTACTCATCTACAAAGACCTCCTTTGGGGCATTTATGAAAACCGCTATTATCTTGTCTATAAAGACTGGTCGTCTTTAACGGTTTTCCACGGGACCACTAAGACTCCCTCCATCCAATAAGTACTCTAATAGATCATTTACGAAGTTTCCCTTCCATTCGCCTATAAAAAATCCCCTTAGGTCGATAAGACATATCCTCTTTAATTTGCCTGTAACCTTCATAGTCGTCTACTAAAATTATCTTTATATCGGTTATAAAGACTCCCATCACAATCGTCTATAAAGATTCGATTGAAATCTATAAATACTACATTCAGGTGGAATATAGAAGCTCCTTTTGGATCACCGCCAAAGACCCCTCTCTATCTCTCTCTCTCAAAAATGTATGTAAAGTGGAGGACCCCCTTCAAGTCACCTAACTACATGCATATCGTTTACAAAGACTCCTACCTATACAGAGACTCCAATCAGCTGTTAACCTCTTTCAGGTTATTTATAGAATACATCCTTCAGCTTGTCTATAAGAGACTCCCTTCAGCTCCTCTATAAAATACTCACAGCCTTTAACTCGCCTCAAAATACTCCGGTTATGTTTTTTATTACGATTTACTTTTGATTGTCTATAAAGTTCCCCTTCTCTCTATAAATTCCTTCTTTAGGAGCATCTATGACAATTGGCCTGTGGTCGTCTAGAAAGACTTTATGGGGGCTTCTAAAAATACCCCTATGTGATCTTCTAAAAATATTTCCTTGAAGTCATTTGCAGCCTTCAATTACTTTCCCCTTCATCCGAAACCAATTCAAAACTTCAAAAAGTAAAAAAACAGTAAGTTCTGCCTGGCCGAGCTTTGAATACCCTCCACCATTTGGAAATAAAAAAATTGTTAAAAATTCTGTTAAAAATTAAAAAATACCGAATGTAGCCGTTATCTTAGGTCTAAACGACGACGAGGACCAGCATAGGCAACTTTTGTCATAGGTCATTAAAATATTCGAACACGAAACTTGAAAAAAATCCAGTGAATAATGTAGCTAAATTAATCAAAATACCGAATATAGGGAGGTACCGTTATATCGGGGCTATACGGGGCTTTTCCAGGTGGTAAGGTACTAAGAAGAAACTCCTTGTGTGGATTTTGAGCCAATTCTATTGAAAAATGTGGCTAAAACCAAAAAAATACCGAATATCGGGAGATACCGTTTTATGGAGGATATACGATATCGTGGGCCTATATAGACAATTCTCTTCCAGGGGTTGAAGTACTCAGAAGAAACTCCTGGTGTGGATTCTCAGACAATTCCATTGAAAAATGTGGCTAAAATCAACAATATATCGAATATCGGGGGGTACCGTTTTATAGGGGATATACGATATCGTGGACCCATTTCTTCCGGCGGGTAAATTACTCAGAAGAAAGTCTTTGTGGGGATTTTGTTGAAAGGTACCCTTGTTTGGGACTAATATGATATCATGAACCTATGTAGACAATTTACCTCCAGGGGGCAAACCTCTCAGAAGGATCTCCTTGTGAGAATTTTCATACAATTCCATTGAAAAATATAGCTTCAATCATCAAAATACCGAATATCAGGAGGTACCGTTATATGAGGAATATGCGAGTGGACCTATATAGACAATTCTCTTACAGGCTGTGAAGTACCCACAAAGAACTCCTTGTGTAGAATTTCAGACAATCCCATTGAAAAATGTACCTAAAATCATCAAAATACCGAATATCGGGGGCTACCTTTATCGTGGACCGATATAGCTCATATTCGAACTTGATCTGCCTGCAGACAAAAGACTGATTTGTGCAAAATTTTAGCTTCTTTATCTTAATACGTTTTACCTCTAGCGTGATTACAACAGACGGGCGGACGGACGGTCAGGGCTAAATCGTCTTAGAATTTTACGCTGATCAGGAATGTATATACTTTGTTAGATCTAAAATTATTATTTCGATGAGTATAGTGGAGGGTATAAACAAGGACTTGTTATACCCAAACAGAAGCCGTTCCATATTTTGATTCTTTTTAAGTATTTCCTATTCTCTTCTTTCAGGCTTTTAAAAAATTAGTTGTAGAAAAAATCGATATACAAAATTGTGAATTTCTAACGAATGTGCCATCCAAAACTTTCTACGACATTGAAGTCTCCGATTCGCTGCTTCTATCAAATGTTAGATTTAAAACAGTTCACACAAAAGCTTTTTCATTTAAAAGTAAGTAAATAACTGAAATAATTTTAATGTATTTGGATAAAGATATTAAATTAAAAATCTTGGCATTTTATTGCAGTGATCTCAAAGCTAACCATAGCTAATAATTATTTTGAGGCAGTCGATGCTGAGTGGTTGGAGGCCTTTGTAAAGAAAAGTCCACTATTAAGAGACAATCAATTTGGAAATACTAGTGAGATAGCTTTTAAAGGTGAATCAAAGATTATGCCGCTTTCAATTTTCATGAAGATTTGTTTTTTAAAAAACAAAAAAAATCTAATGCTTCACCCTCTTTTTCTTAATTTCAGGCATAAAAGTACATCGCGACTATGGCAGTAGTGAAAAACTAGAGTTGCGTTTTAGCAACAATACCATCCACTTCCCCCGCGACAATGTACAACCGTTGGAGTTTAGCAAAGAATTTACACTCAACGTCAAACAGCTGAATATGGATAATCCATATCCCTGCACGGACATCGATTACAATAGTCAGATATTAAGACCAAAAAGTGAATTCTATAATCATTATCAACACAATGTCTATTTTCGACAAGATGCCACCACAACATCGCAAGGCACAAGGGCAACGTATAAGCCATTAAATGAAATTATTAACAATGATTGCTCCAAACACTCCTATTGGATTTATATAATAATTGGTGTAGTTGTGCTACTGATCCTCATTGCCTTGATTGTTGTAATAGCCTGTTGGCTGGCCGCTAAGAAACGTAAGGCGAAACGAAAAATGGATATAATACAACCGGAGCCACGTACCTATAAGGAAACACAAATAGTTTATCAAATTGAAAATGCCGGACTTCTTAAGACTGACTTTTAACAAAAACAAAAAGAAAGAAAGGACACAAAAATTTGAGAGACGAAAATAGGGGGGGGTGCTTTTTGTCCTTTTTGTGGCAAAGAACCCCGGACATACACATCTTCTTGTTGTTGTTGTTTTGTAATCAAAGACGCTAGAACACCGAAATTCCACCAAAAACAAAAAAAAAAACAAATCGAAATATTTAATATTTAAATTTCTTGTGAAACCAAATGTAAATTTAAATTTTGTTAATAGTTTGTTAGAGTAGATAAGTATGTATGTATATTATTTTATATATGTAAATGTAGTTAGCTACTTATAATCTTCAAAACCGTTAAATAATAAAAATCAATTGTAAATACATAAAGACATAAATAACCGATTTTGTAAACTGTTGAGAATAGAAAACTTGGGAGGCAAATTTTATATTCATTGATCTTGTTTTTGGGGAGATAAACAAATTTTATTTAAGTAAAAAAATAAATAAATTTAAACAAACTTTTTCGAAATAATAATGAATTCATGAATTTATCCTCGAAGCCTTTTAGAATTAGTGCAAAAACTTGGCATTGATCCTGTACAATTTACAACGTTCCCAGTCAATGAGACCTCTCTCAGAAGACTTCTATGGTAATAAGAACTTATAAAATATATTTTTATTAGAGGAAAAGCCTTGATAGAGAATATTTAAAGAGTCGTCAATATCTAAAATAACCATACTCCTCCATAAAGGAGACCTTTCAAAAAAGAATTCTTCATAAAGACCTCTCAAGAGTGCCTCTATTAATAGAAGATATTTGTCAAATGTTTATCTAATGATCGAATTTTCAATGGGGTTTCATTTATAGAAACATAATTTAAAACATCTTCTTTACATCTAAAATCTTTCAATTAGGATTCTTAATAAGTCTTATATACAGGGTGAGATGAGAAAACTGCAACCCACTCCAGACTGCTGTCATTTCTAAGCCACTCGATCGACAGCTATCAAAATTATTCCAGTGACAGCTCATTATAATGTTTACAAGTGTACAAAAGCATTTTGGTGAGAATTTTCCAGAAAAAAAGTTATTCGTGATGGAATTCAAACTGGAAAACCACAAGTGGCTATCGTCGTTAGAGCACTCCAGCATTTAAATGTGAATAAATCTTTTGTGTCTCGTACCATCGATCGTTATCGATTACGTGATACTGGTAGCGTAGCCCGACGTTAAGGAAATGGACGGAAGAAAACAGCAACATCAGTAGAAATGGTTCGAAAAGTAAAGAAGCGACTTGATCGAAAAAATGGCTAGTGAGCTGAACATATCGCCATACTCCATTCGGCATATATTGAAAAATAAGGTGGGGGTAAAGCCATTGAAAGTCCAAAAAATGCAAGAGCTTACACCGCAACAGAAAGAAAATGGACTCAAAAGAGATAAAGAGTTGCTTCGCTTGGTTGAAAGTGGTGAACTGCCGAATTTGTTTTTCTCCGATGAGAAAACATTCGTTTACTTGCCAAAGAGGTCAGCTGAAAATGTGCAACTTCGGCTGGCCACCAGAACTCAAGCGCCAGGCATGGTGATGGCCGCCATAACAGCCGACGGTCGCTCTCCGCTCATATTATTCAACCGTGGCATCAGAATTAATGCCGAATATTATCGCGAAAATATTCTGGAGGGTGTATTAAAGAGGAAGAGGAAAAGGAGGGTGTATTAAATTAACATTTTGGCCACAGACCTTGGACATTCCAACAGGACTCAGCACGCGCCACTCAAAAATTGTTACAAAATGAGGTGGCAGTGGCCACCAAAATCTCTGGATAGCAATCCTATTGGACTATTGTGTCTGGAGTATTTTGGAAAGCAAGGTTGACATTAAAAAATACCAAATTGTCGATCACCCCAAGCAAGCGCTTCGCCGGGAATGGGCCAATACACCGCAGAGCAACATTCGGGGAGCGTGTGACGGTTTCATTGGCCGTTTGAAGGCCAAATTCGTGCCAAAGGTGACAAATTCGAACAAATCTAAACTTATTCTAAAATTTTGTGCTATTTCCGACATCTTTTGCTTTAAAAAAATAAAATTTAAAAAAAAATGTAAAAATTATGGCATTTGACTTTGTTGCAGTTTTTTATCTCACCCTTTAAAAAACTTTCCAAAGGTCTTCTTTTATTGCTTCTAAAAGCAGAAGGCCTTCTTTAGACAGATGATATTTGAAATTTCTCTACAGATTAAAGATCTTTTTGCAGGATCTTCAATAGATGGAAAATCCAGCAATAGATCACCTGGCCTTTTCCGAAATTGTCTAGGGGGTTTCTTTCAATAGGGTTTGTGTAGATAGAAACATCATATAAAATATCTTCTATACGCCTAAAATCTTTCAATTAGGCTTTTTAAAGGTCTTATATATAAATATCATTCCAAATGTTTTCCTTCTTTTCAAATTGCTTCAAAGAAAAGCCGAAGGTCTTCTTTAGACAGGCGACATTTGAAAGGTCTTTACAAATTGAAGACCTTGTTACAGAGTCTTCAATTGATAGAAAATCTAGGAATAGATCATTAGGTCTTTTCCAAAATTTTGCAGAACCAGAATAAACTCCCAATCTCTCTTAATTTTTAATTTGATCAAATTATAATATTTAATTTCCTACCACTTACCCAATTGGTAAATACGATTCCAGAGCTTGATGTATGGTTAAGTCAGGCTCTGCCAAGGCCAGGCCTTTTGAGAGCAAAGCAAAATGTGTGCTAATTGTTTCACTTATTGTTGATAAATCCTCAACATCTTTGTCATCTAAATGAATAAAACAAAAGAGGTTAATTTTCTCTGTTTGACCCATTTTTTCGCATTGTCCTTACCTGGCAAACTTAAGTTCTTTTTCATTAAATTGCCGCTGCACATGCCACCCAAATAGGATAGTTCTTGTTCAATGCGCACCAAGCAGGAGCTGTTGTTACTTAACTGGAAACATAAATTGTTAATTAACATCAAATTATGGTTCCCTCCTCTAAAAGCCAAACTTACCAACACTGGATTGTCATAACCCACGACCAAACATTTAAAACCATAACGATTTACCCGGGGATCTTGAACATATAAAGATGAGGTTTCCAAGGAAAACTCAACACAATTGCCCGGTAGAATCATGACATTTTGTAGCCAATTAGAAGAGCTGCAAATAAAATAACGAAATAATTAAATGTCCAGACTTCCAACTCCACACAAAAATGATATTTTCTTACCTGTTAAACTTTTTTACCACAAACCAATCGGATTCATTTTTCATCTCTACCGACTCAGCTTTTTGCAGGGGTGTCTTATAACAAGATGTCAATAGGGTTGCATTCTTACAATGGCCCCCATTATTTCCCGAACGATTCGATTTGATGTTATTATCCAATATGTCATAATAATCCTCGCTGGCATGGCACATATCGGCCAACACCAATGGTCTCATGGGCACCGATACCAAGAGATAATCTTCCATTTGTGCCGTGCCACACTGAGGATCAAATTCAATGGTCAGCCATTGGACACAGGGTGGAAATTCAACCCGATAGCAATTGATGGAAGCACTTCTATAGGGATGTTCACTTTCAACCACACAATAGTGATTGCTGGTAGTGGGTGTATCATTTGTGGGACTATTATCATGGTTGGCTTGATTGGATGTGGAGGCTGTTACCAAAGCATTGCTGCAAGCCTCATTGCCCGTGTCGAATTTTTTGTGGAATAATTCAAAAGATGGACGCAAACGAGGCAGGCTGGAGTGGTTAGGTTGTATGCCTGTCGTTTCCTTGCTGCTAGAACTCAATTGATTTAGGGCTGCAATGTGGGGCAATATTTCCTTGATCAAGCCCAAAATTTGTACGGAACTCTGGAAAAAATACAATAACATATTAGTGTCTAAGTGGAATGGAAAAACTAAACTATCTATCCCACCTTGGCATCATTACAAGCCAAATTGGCAATGTGGGCATACACCAATGGTAGTAAGGTGTGGAATAAGTTGGAAGAGCCCAAATTGAAAACATCCAAAATATTCGAGGCTGCCATGTGACCTGGTGTCTCCTCCGAATCGGCGCGAGCCATTGCCACGGGATTGAATTGTCCCGAGACTCCCATTAAATTTTCCACCGCCTCGGCACCCACCCTTTCATTGCCATTGAATTTGGTAATTTGACCATTGCGGAAATTCAAATCATGTATGGCTGCAGTTTCCTCAATCATCAAATCCTTGGGATGGATTTCTGTGGCTCCAATTTCTATTTCCATTTCGAATGGATTGGTGGAACGTTTTTCAAACTTCAATGTCTCAATGATACCCTTCGAAAATGATTCCAATCTTTTGGATAAATCTCGAGCTGCCGATAAACCCCCTGCTTCAGCGGGCAAATGTGAGGTCCTGGAGTTATTGGCCCAATTTATATCCATATGTTCTTCAATTGGTGTTATATTATGTTCAGAATCTATGGTCTGTGAATGATTTGAGGAATTGTCCGAGGGCGAAAGTGATGCAGCCAGGGTATTTCGAGCTAGAACCAAAAGTTCTGTACATTTCTTGGTAATATCTGAGGCAATTTGTAGGGCAGTATCACGCATTGTGGTCTCATTGGATAAGGAAACATCATTGGAGCCTGAACCACCAGTTCCACCGGAACCAAAAGCGCCACCACTGCAACCATTTGATTCCGACTTAATGGGTGTACTGTAATAAAGAATACAGGGTATTTGACCCCGATGGGCATTGGTGCCATTGAAACTCAAGTCACAGGCATAAAACTGGAATGTGGTGCCACAGGGGCCACGCACCGATGGCAAGCCACCGTCACCGGAGCAAGTGCGATGGCCCTGGGAACAAAATCTCAAGGCATAGCGGGTATTTTCCTGCAAAAAATCGGCATGTTACAATACGTCAAGATTTCTTTCTTTAGACAACCTACCTTTATCAAAACCGATCTTTCAAATTTCACCTCAGCCATATCATTTTGTACCACACTCTGATCATAGGTGCCCGACACCGATTCCAAAGTTTCCCATTTATGTTGTTGCTGTTGCAACGGCTGTTGTTGTCCAACATCACCTGATGTATCACACAGCAGCTCCAATTGATACTCATAACTACCGGACCCAGTGTAAACCATACAGCCAGCTATTGCAATGCCACTACGATCCACAGAAAAGGCAATAGCATCAGGGCCAAAGCTTCCCGTATTCCAGGTACGACTTTGATCGCAACGGGCAAATCGAGAGCCAGAGGAATGCAACGTCCTGGGTGGCACAAACATTTTGTCGTACTATCGAACAGAAGAAGAACCATTCAATCTGAAGAAGAATCTAATATTTATTTGACTTACATCCCCAATAGCTGTTTGGTAAACAATTTCCGCCAGAACACGTGCCAACAAATGACAACAGTTATCAATGAGTCCCTGGTTGAAATCCTTGCTGCAATAACTGCTACTGGAATATGTATAATGGACACCCCTATTGTAGATATTTTCCAAACGATCCCTTATGGGATTGGCTATAATATCCAGCAAACGCATTAGCACATCCTTAAAGGTCCATGAATTGCTGAGGAAGTCACATTTCTCCTGCTGTGTACGATAAATCATTTGCTCAACCAGTATGGGATATTGATGGGAGTCCGTTGACGAGAGCATTGGTAGGCCAGAATTATCACTTGGACTTACAATCGAATGACGTTCATTGCCATGATTTAACAGGGCAAATGTTGAACGCAGCTTAACCGTGGGCGAGCATAGGCCGGCCAGAATGGCACTCAAGAGTCGGGAATGCAATGTACCTTGCTGTAAAAAACAAAAACATCTCAAATTGAAATCTCTGTGATTTTGAAATAAACATCTCCATACTTTATCCATTTCCGACAGCAAATCACACAAACAATTCCATTTCAAAGTTGAGGTGGGATAGAAAACCCCAAAACAGGCCACAAAACTTATATGGCACTCATCCAAAATTTCCAGGGCCATGGATAGGGCCTCATCACTGCTAATATCTTGGAAGATATCATCGCAAAATATTCCAATTAGCATGGCCCGGACATTGCCAATGCATTCAGCCAATTGTAGATTTTCCATATTCGATTTTTTCATTGGAGATTGATTACCACCACCACCAACACCTCCACTTCCACTGCCATTATCATTGAAATATTTGGTTAATAAAGTCGATGAGGGTTTGGTAAACTTTGTCACCTCCTTGTCCGAACGATTGTTCAACGACTTGTGACCGGATGCAGTTGAAATATATTCAGCAATTTCATCGGATGTACCATATTGGGGATATATCTCATTGGTGTATTTCCTTAGCAAACGCAAACACGACTTATTGACATGTATTAAATATTCCAGCGATTGTTTGACCTGCAACTGATGTGACATGTCACGCTGTTCCCTCAGATAACCCTTGAATGCTTCCCATGACCAATTCAACATTAATACCAAACTTTCAAAACACTCCTTGGTTACACTATTGGCAAATTCTTTGGTAACCCTCTTAACGGGATCTATATCCACTGGAGCCGGTGGTTGTTTAGATTCTTGGGTTATTAGACGATATAGAATAGCTGGTATTTGGCCAGAGTTAACATCGGTGCCGTTATTGGCCTTCTTGGATGATTTAAAGGTGAAGACCACCTGATCTTCTGTTGTCACAGTTGCCTGGCCACATGAACCACAGTCAGATGATGGGCCGGCAATGCGGGCCCATACCAGATACCAACGCCCCGCAGTTATGCTAACTGGTTTGGGTAGCAGTATGTGGTATTTGCTGCGGGCAGGACATTCAAAGGGAATTTCTTTAGTTTCGCTAATAAGTGTGCCTTCCTTTTCATAGCCCCCACCATCGCAACCCATGTCATAGAGTTTTAGCTTGCATGAATATTCACCTCGACCACCAAACATGCCAAAGCCATCTGAAAATCAAAGAAGAGCAAATTTGGTCAAGGAGAAAGGGAGAAAATGCCATTAACCACTTACATATCATCACATCTGTGTCCGCCGAAAAACGTATTGCTTCCACACTGTGGCCAGAATATCCCCAGCCACCACCAAAATTGTCGAAACGATTACAGACTTGATATTGGTTATCCTTTAGTTCTTTACTCTGATTATCCTCCTTGGGAGATATGTCCTCAAAACAAGCAGGTCTAAAAGAGAAAATAATTGACTCCAAAACTCAAATAATCACCAAATCATTAAAAGAAATCCTACATAACATCCTGGGCCGAGGTCAGCACATCCAAGCATGCCAATAGATTAAGTGAGGCATGCAAACGAGATATTTTCGAGTCAAATTTATTCGGCATCGATAGTTCTGGTGTCAGCAATGCTCTGTAGTTAGAAGAGTTCTGCAAAATGGAAATTAAAATTTTATAAATCACATAATTCCAGATCCCATATCATCCTTCTTACCATTCCCGTTTGTTGTATCTCACTGGCGAGGACATTATAACTCAATACCTTCTTTTGATTGCAATCGTACACCCACAATATGTCATACATGGGGTCCATTGCAAAGGCCAATTTCGAATATGATTTGTCATTAATTGTGGCAGCCGATGATGAAGCTGCTTTGGGCGATGATGGACTCTTAAGACAACCCTTGGCATATTCTCTATTACGTTCCTTACGCTGACTTCCCGACGCATTGTGGACATGATTGTTGTCTTGCAGATCAAACATTTGATTCCTTGCCTCATGCATGCTGCGCGACATTTGTTCATTGATGGGATTTCCCGACGATGATGTTGGACCCAATGGTACCATGGTATTTTGATCGACATTTTGATTAACCTCCGGCACTAATTTGGGTTTATTTGAATGTTCCATTTTTGCAAAATCCACTTGGTTATGGTAATGGGCTGTGCAGTTGCCATCGCGACGATTTATCGATATGGCACTAAAGGTCAGGGGTATGGTTGGTATCATCACTGGTAAGGAGAATGAAAGATTCAATATAGTTCCGTTTCTATGTTAAGCTATAACTCACAAATTGTTTTCTTATTGGCTGCCACATTCATTTTTGGCAACATTTGTGTTGTAATTAAAGATTCGTCCAATTTAATAAAGGTTTGATCTCCACTGGCTCCAATCCATGTGGCCTTCTTGCCAAAGCTGGGCCCAATGCCACTAGAAAGAAGATAAAATCCAATTATTTAATTTTCTAATAACATAACCTCAACCTGATACATACAACACAACTCCTGGTGTACAATGCCACAGAATCTTCTGCCTTTGCGATATCATCTGGGCCACCGTCGGCTTTTCCGGCAATGAATCTTGATTCACAAAAGATTCCCTATAATTTTGGCCGATATTCGATTTATCACTGTCCCTTGAAGCGCCAGCCTTTTGTTGAAAATCGTGCGGCAATCTTCCCAATTGCCCTTTTTGGAAATTACCAAAAGTATATACCAGTCCTTTGTAGGTCAGAAGTACAGTGTGATTGCTGCCAGCTGCAACTTGGCAAACATTTCCGGGTACATTGATTCGAACAGGTCCGGTTGCAGGCTGCATATCACCAGTACCCAATTGACCAAATTGATTGCTGCCAAAGGCATACACCTCACCAGAGAGCGTAAGGACAACAGTATGATGTAGGCCACACGACACCTGTACCACCGGAGATGTTGAGGGCATTTGCAAAAGTTGTGGTGCCAGGGGAGCAACACGTGGTGGATTTTCTTCAGTGTGACTGCTGGTGTCATCCATTGACTTCTTATCCTTGCGACGCATTATCAGGCTCTTGGAACGTTGACGATTTAATTGCTTACTTGTATCCTTGGTATCTGAAACTAAGAAAGAATATTTTTATAATAAAATATCATGGCAGTTATAAGACAAAATGTTACCACTTTCAGATTCCTGTACGGCAATACAGGAAGCACAGAGACCACATTTGGAACAGCCAGCATCACCATGACCACATGCACAGGTCCTGTAAGCACAAGCATAAATGGAGAATATAAATATAAAAACTATTCATACAAAATGTGTAATACTTACGCTCCGCCCACTCTTTCCTCCAGGGGAATATTTAAGGAGGATACACACGAAATGGAAAACCCGGTGCACTCCTTACACACCACACATACACGACACTGGCCCTGGACAACAGTGTGATCATCATAATCACATAAATTCGAAAAATCAAATTTCAATTTTTTCATATTTTGTGATTTTGCTGCTCCAGATGCCAATGAAACTCCACCAGATCCATCAACAGTGCTACCACCACTGCCAGTTGTACTACTCTCCTTTGATTTATTATAAACATGACCACACTGGCCCTTATTATTCAGGCCAAACGTAAACACCTGACCCTTGGCATTTAGGGCCACACAATGGGCTTTGCCCAGTGCCACCTTTTGTATATGCTGATCGGCAAAGTCTGTTACAAAACCTTGTGCATCACAATGTACAGTATCCTTGCCGAACATAATCAGCTTTCCAGTCTTTGTTACAAAGGCCGAGGTGCCATTGTTGCAGGCTGCCTGGACAATGACATGACCCTCAATTTTTGTCATCTTCTTTGGTTTGACTGCCTTGGGTTGACGTCTATTTTTCGAGATATCGCCATCTTCACCGCGCCGAGCGGTGCCAGCAAAATATACTGTACCATCATCATTCACCAGCAGGGCATGGATACCATCATGGCCCACAGCAATATGAATAATACGTGATATTTTCGATATAATCAATTCGGTGAGTTTCATAATAGGTGTACGACCCACGGATTTCAAACCTAAGGCACTCGATTTGCCATAGTAGTAGACTTTGCCATTGTTGGCACAGACCAAACCAAACTCCTTGCCGCAGACGATTTCCTGTAAATCCACATCGTTTGGTATTTTCGGTTCGAAAATGTTGTAGGATGCCTGTATTTTAAGGATTTGATTTTGATTTAAGACTTCCTCCTCGAAGGTGGCATAGCCCAGGGTGCGAAAACGTTTGCGTGACAATTGTAAAGGCAGCTCCACGGGTAGGCTATTGTCACGATCGGCGGTGCGATTTTGATGGCCAATATTAAGGCGTCGTACCACCAGAGAATCCTGAGAGAGAAAAAAACAAATTACTTTCAAATTCAGAAATGTTCAAATTCAATACTCACATCGCGATTGGTACATATGGCATTGAGGGAATCTTCATCCGTAAACAGAGTGTAATTGAAGCCCTCTCTAATTGGCAACATATTAACCGGATTCATGCTCTTTATGGTCAATAGCTCAGTGTTAACCAAATGCAAATGGTCGGCATTGCGTTTGGAGTTGCGGCGATAATACAATTGACCATTACTATAGCCCAGCCATCCTGTTTTCTCTTTGGTGAATTCATCATTTTGCATGTAAATATGGCCCTTGTAGGAACCATTGTAACCGGTGCCAATTTTCAGAAGAGCTCCACCTAAGAGCAAATACAAATAGGTTCCATCCGAGGCCAAAGAAGGTTCAGTAAAACCACCAAAAGGCGCCTTGATTGTGAACTGTAAAGAAAAAACCATGAGAAATATAACTATGGAGATTTCCTTCCTCTTTCTATTGCTTTGAAACTTACCTCATTGATGATTGAGTTGAGCGGCACACCTTTCGTATAGAAATCCGGACAGGTGGGTTTGGCCAGAGCTGCACTGATCACTGTGCGCTGTAGCATACCCAACACCGCTGGCATTTGTATGCGTTGCAACGATAAATGCCTGGGCGACATTATCAAGGCCGCAATGGCTTTCAACATTTTCCCTGTATCGCCACGAGCAATACACAAACCAATCAGGGCCGAACAGGCCACAGCTGACCAATCAGCCTCACTGCCACCATTCTCGGTTGTGCTCATTGTGGCCAAATCCAAGAGGAGATCATACAAAGGATTTATCAGTTCTTCGGGTTCATGTTTAAATGATTCCGGTTGTTGGCCTTGGATAACATCCAGTAGAGCCTTAAGGGCCTTGGAACAAAATGTCGGCTGTATGTGTCGAGCTTCGGATATCAATTCGAATAGACTTCTCAAACCGGCACCCACAATCAAGGGTACGGTGACAATTTTGGGTTCTTTGTCCAAACATTCCTCTGATTCGGATTCAACATCACTATTGGCTGAATCTTGACGGGAACGTTTTCCACCCGCGCCAGCTACTCCTGCAACAGCCACCTGAGCCACCACGGCACCATTTGCCCCACCACCAGCTTGAAGTGCCTGGCAAGAGCACTCTGCCGATTGATTACTCAGTAGACAAGATCCGCACAATAAACAATATGAGGAATTTAAATTTGGCAAATGTCTTGCATTGCCGCTCAACTCATAAAAAAGCAGACGTCTGGTTTCGGCTTCCAAGACCGTCGAACGTATGGCCGAAAATACAGCAAACTGTGAGGCATTTGGTTGTAGCTCGATATGGGCCACCGGAAATGCAGGGCACAGTAACAACTGTTCCTTAAGCAGCGGTTGATCTAGCTGATTTAAAATTCGCAAATCTGGATTCACCTCCAATATGGCCATGGGAGATTTCTTATCCTTATTTTTACGTTTGCCCAAGGGTTTGCGATCATTTTGCAGCTTCCTGGAAAATATTATATATGTTTAAATGGTTTATTTATGAAAAAACTTAAACGTTTTTTGCATGGATAAATTAAATTAAAAAATATATATATAATTAAATTCAAACAAAAAATTTTGATATTTTTATAAAGTATTGTCTTATTAAATAATATTTATATATAATTTATATAAATTCCCAACATTTTTAGCTTCCAAAAATATTCTCTTGTTTTTGGAAATTTTAATAAAAATAAAGCTTATTTTTTATAGACGTTTTTCTCTGAGCTAAAGTCAATGTTTACAAACAAAATCGGCATGTGACTTTGTTTGTTTACAAACAAATACATAACTGACCTACATGAACAGGTGGTCAGATGGGGTCATTGAACCGCCTTACTCAAGGTTGTTGATATTCGGTAGGCTAAGTAAGCAAACCGAATAAACATGAAGAACAAGCATGCCGTAAATCAGCTGTTCGGACAAACAAGAACAAGAAAAGCAGCTGATCGAACAGCTGATTGAAAGTATAAACAGGAGGAGTATATACCACCACCACCCATTGTCAATTTTACCACCCCTTTTCTAAAAAAAGGACATGTCTGGTTTGTGTGTGAGTGTGTGTGTGCGAGTTTGACATTTTTGGTATACAGGATAATTTTGTGCTTTGTTCATACATCTTTTCAATAAATAAAACCCTAGAAATGCAAATTTCTTCTTGAAAATTTTAATAAATCTTGAATTGAAATCGTTTTGATTAGAAGATTCTATTTAGAATTGAGTATTGTTTAATTTTCTTTTAAAGCGAAACACCTTCGTTTTTTGGAAAATCAATAAAAGCTATGAGTCAACACCAGATATACCTACAAGACATTAGTATACCGAATTTTTCACAAAGAAAATTATTATATTTTCTCTGTTTTAAGCAACATTTTTAACAATTTGTTATTAAATTTTTTGTATTTGTTTTACATTTACCTTCTCGTATTCAATGTATATAAATCATAAAAATTTTCCCCATACTTAATGGGATTAAGTAATCCAACCATATTTGATTATTAATTTAAAATCGCCAATTTCTCACTTCCAATTGATATTATATTTTTTTAATTATTTTTTAATTGCACTGAATATTATCCACTTTTTATCATGATTTTTTTTAATATTTTATTTTCTGCAATTATTATTAAATTTTCTATTCCCGTTTTTCACTTCACTTTAATGAGATCCGTTTTCGTCGAAATAGGGTTTCTAACTAACTGACAATCGGATGACATTTCGATTTTCAACCCCTAAAACCAGTTAACTAAACGAGAAATTCATGAATGAAATGCAACCCCTACCTCAACCCCAAGAGGTACCACCGAATTTTTCATTCATGCCACCAACACATACCCGAGCAGCTGTTGTAAAACTGTAATAACTGCTGACACTACCGGCGAATTAATTATGACAGTTATTTTACCGGTAGCCAATGTTTACAGTGTGGTCAGAGTTGCCATTTCCCGATATAACGAAGTTTTAAGGGCAAGTTAAAAGTATAAAACATGGTATAATAAAATCAAGGTACATATGATTTAATTTTTTTTATTTGGCTTGGCTTTATATGTTAACTTTATTTGTTTATGTGTTTGTTTTTTTTTTTCAATAATAAACAACTAAAATAGTATCAGTCGGTTTTGCCAACAGATGTATACACCCAGCCATGGTACAATGAATTCAAGGTAGGGCAGAACAACCATATGATTTCAATTTTTTTATTTTTCTGGCTTAATATGTCAACTTCATTTGTTTATGTCTGTGTATTTTTTCAATAATAAAAAATTGTTCAGGAAATATTCAAATTTGGGTGTTTTCTAAATGCTTATTGCAACGTATACCTCGACAAAATCTACAGTTTTTGTCGCGAAATAAACCATAACAGATATATAGAACATGATTTTGAAAAGAAATTTTGACCTTTCATTCATTTTTCGCGGTTTGAAATTATTTATTCAAAATAAATGCAACAAGTTGTTTGATTTTTTATTGTTTTGATAGTAATTCTGACATTACAAGCCAAACAGGTAGACCTCTATACTTGCAATTTTTTCAAAGTTGACCTACCTTCTCTTCATTGTACCATGCACCCAGCCATGGTACAATAAAGAATGTAAAGTCATTTCAAATAAGCATACCCATCTCTGCATTTTCTATAATTTACATTGCCAAATTTCACTGCATAAAAACAAGGTTTCCATCTCTGATTTGTGTATTTACTATGAATTTATAAATATATAATTTGTATACTTTGACAATGAGATGTTGTCAAACGAATAATTTTGAAAAAAAAAATTGTAAACATATGTTTACATGACTTTACCTTCTTGATTCTACCCATGGTACAATAAGGAGGTAAAACAGCTTCGTAAAACTACAGAAGTACAGTCCTGAGGCTATGCCCGCTTCCTGTCAAATGTCAATGCAACAAGTTGTTTTCATTTATTCAATATTTTTCCTCATTAAATGAATTAAATTACTGGATTTTCTTTCAAAAATATGAATATATAATTCCATGACAATGCTGGCGAATAGATGTAATGCGCGTCTCGCAATGTACGAGTCGTACAATTATTGATGTTGAAACTGTTCTGTTTTTATTTTTCAAAACAATAAATACATACACAAAATTGGCAGAAGTCGGGCACACTTAGAAAAAAAGTTGTTAACAGCTGGTAGCTCTACCTTACCTTTTTATTGTACCATGATTCTACCATGCCCCCAGCCTTGAGTTATGATTATTCAAATTGTAGACCCTATATGGTGAAGGTGCCGAAGCAGTTGGCCAATATTGACCAATTCATATCTGACCTAAGACTGATAAAAAAATTACAACGTTCCAGATTTGGACTATATCAACTACTTCCTATACTTTACATGAGATATGTGCAACTTTTTAAAAAATGTGGAAATATGCGTGAGGAAACAAATATAGAGGACCGAAGTACTCCATATTCAAACCTTATCTAATACAAATAAAAATATTGGTATGGACAAAATAAAGAAAATCAAACATTCATATACAATTTTATGTCATAAATTTCGATAAATGACATACATATTCATATCAGATTTCTGGTTAAGAGAAATATTTAGATATAGCAAGTTGCAAAGAATCGCCGACTTATTTCGCAATTTATGACAGATAAAAGTATAGAAAATTGTGACTCCTTGTGGGTTAGGTACCAGAAGGGATCGCAGACATATATAAGCTTCACAACAGATCCTGCGTTAACAAAAATATCTGGATGTGTGAAATTTGAAGAGAGTTGAATGCTTATCTCGCTTTCTTCGAACTTTTCGTTTTTTCAAAATTTTGAACCCAATGTGTGGAAGATGCCAGAAGAAATGGTCCTATATATCCCATCTTCGCACCAGACCTTGGGTAAATAAAAATATTATGATGCTTATTACCGATTTTTGGATAGTTTGTTTTATTCAAAACTTTGACCCTTTGTGGGGGAGGTACCAGAGGGAATGGATTTCTACCATCATTATATCAGATCTTGTGTTGATGGAAATATTGAGATGTACCAAGTTTGAATGGTATCGGATTTTAATTCCCTGTTTTATGAGCTTCATGGATACTCAAAATTTTGACCCTTTGGGGAGGTACCAGAAGGAGCGGACCGATATATGCCATCTTTGCAGCAGACCTTGGGTTAATAAAAATATTGTGATGTGTGTGATTTGAAGAGAACCAGATGCTTATTTCGGATTTTATGATCGTTTTGTTATTCAAAACTTTGATCCTTTGTGGGAGGATACCATAAGGAATGTTCCGATCTCTACCATCTTTATAACAGATCTTGTGTTGATGGAAATATTGAGGTGTGCCAAGTCTGAATGGAATCGAATGTTAATTTCGTGTTTTATGAGCCTCATGAGCATTCAAAATTTTGACCCTTTTTGGGGGGATTATGTCATCTTCACACCAGACCTTGGCTTAATTTGAAGACCATCGGACTCTTAAACACATTTTATGAGTGTTATAATTATTCAAAACTTTGACCCTTTGTGGGGCAGATACTTGATGGAGTGGACCGATACTATCCATTTTTGCACCTGAGCTAGCACTGACGCAAATATTAGGATTTGCAAAGATGGGGCAAAATCGGACTATCGTTTCTCTTTCTGTGCAGAAAATATATTTTTTGAAAATTTAGACCTTTTGTGGGGGAGGTACAAGTAGGAGTGGGCCAATATCGCCCATCTCCGAACTCGATCCAAGTTTGAAAAAAAAATTGCGATCTACCAAGTTTGGACCACATCGGATACTCCCTTCGAGAGTTACCGTACACACCAGCCAGACGGACAGACATCGCTAAATCGACTACAAATGTCCTGAAACGGATTTTTTCCAAAAATACCTAGGATCTAAAACCGTTATTTCGACCTGGCACGTTTTGACCGTATCAAATAATATATACCCTTACTAGCCATATGGCTGAGGGTATAATAAACCTTTAACAGTTAATTACATGAATTACGCCTAAATAACACAAATTACACATTGCAACGAAAAATTGCACACTATATATGTAAATACACATACACTGGCAACACTGGTTGTGACAGAAATGAAACTGTTATACAAAACAATAACCTACCGGCTCAAAGACCACGGCCTCTTTGTTTTTCTCTCATTCGTAAACTCGGCATTTTTGTTTTCTGTTTATTATTTATCGGGTATTCATTTCTGGCCTTCATATTCGTTTCTTTGGGACGTTTTTCATTTTTGTTTTACACTCTCGCAACGAACAACCAACCAAACAAACGGCGCGCGCTTGAAGCAGAGTCGACAATCAACTCCTGAACACCAAGAAGAGGAGGGATAAAACAACCAAGGAATTGGATTGGACACATTTGTTGGACAGGATTATTTAAAAAGCAGGTAAGTAAAGTAATTCTAATTGCTTTGCTATACATACACCTTGGACAACCAAGGATATAAAGTGGTGGTGTGTAAGATGCTGGAGATCGGACCATTCTTTCAGGTCCCTCCTGGATCCTTATGCTAATGCAAGATCTGCTGTGAAGATGAGGATATATCGGTCTGAGTCTGACTCCACAAATGGTATATTAGGTATATTAATATATAATATATGAATTTATAATATATAATATATATTTACGCTTTTACGGTTTTTATACCTCCAACTATTCGTTGGTACATATTTAACACAAGAAACAAGTGTATAAGTTAATTTTGTGTTCCAAATTTTAAAGGTCAAAGATCAATTAAATGTTTTTTTTTATTCAACAGCCAACCTTGGAATCCCTCCGCGAATTTAATTGAGTTTGATATCTGACTGGTATTTCTGCCAAATTGGAATTAACAAAAAATAATTGAAATGTTCAAACGAAAAAGCAGAAAACTCAGAAAGGAAAAAAAGACAGATCCAAAAACACGCAAACGTCGTCAAACAGTCGACGTCCTTGTTTCTGAAGTTCAAAGCACTACAACAACGAAAAAATGCACATCCAACCATGAAATGGGCTTTGAAAACACAATCCCAATAGGAAAAAATATAAGCAGATTCAATGGTGACATTGGGGTGCCATGTGAAGAACAAGGAATTTTTTTGCGATCAGGAGTGGCAACTCCCAAGGCAATCTTGAGCGTTGATCTAACTGCAAACATTTCCACTAGCAATGAAACTGTTATTCCAAACCAATCGACAAATTCTAATTGGAATTCTAAGCTGGAAAGGAGTTATGAACAATTCAAGAAAATCAGCCATGACTATGAGATTTTTAAGGCTCTGTTTGAAGATACTATTATGGCTGAACAGGAAAAGATGCTGAAAACCATTGAAGAAGTTGACAGACTTCACAGGTACTCGATATCACTGGAAATGGAGGCAGCCAAAATAAAACGTAAACGTTGGTGTATTCAATGTCAAATGGAAGCAAAATATCTTAGCACTAAAGGTCACTATTTTCTGTGTTCACGGAAATGTGAAGACCTGTATGAATCGTCATTGGGAAGTTAGACTTCATAATATTGTGAAATATTTCCCATTTCTTTTTTTGGTTTTTGCCTTACCCATGAAATAAGGTTTTATTTAACCAAAAAATCGTTTTGTTTTTGTAAATGTTATTGTAAAAGAAATTACGTTTAATTTTTTGTCTTTAGTTTTGAAAAAGGTATTTGAGCAGCTGCGCTGCAACCTTATCAACAACAACAAATTACGTTTTCAAACTATTCTTACTTTGTATCTTTGTAATATTTAATATTTATTAGTTAGACATTTTCTGAAAAAAATTAATTTAGCATAATTTAGTATAGTTCTAAATATAATTTACCGAAAAGAATCTTTGTACTCTAAAAGAGTAAATGTAGAATATAGTGTACATACCTATAAAATAAACAATGAATTTGTAAAAGAATATTGTACTTATTTTTTGGAAACGAGCAAGGTAATAGGTTATTTTCGCGAATGATGAACTATATCGATAGCCACGGAGGTATTATAAATTACCTATCTATTTCTGTAATTCCAGCATGGGGAGTAGTTTGTATAGTCTTCAAGACCAATAAAGCAGCAGAATATATGTGTGCTACTGTAATCAATTACAATGAGCGAGTAATTTAATAAGTATACAGACCAATCTTCACACAAAAGAACACTCCCACAATGGAAAGCTTTTTAAATTATATATTTATATTATATTTAAAAAAACACATGTCTTAACAGCATCTTCATAAGAAAATATTAAAAACCCATTTATTTTTGAAGAAATTGTTACCTTTAATCAGAATGATTGGGGAGAAGGTTGGCAACGCGGATGGGTCTTTTTCGTGCCTTGTGCACCCTAGTAGTTGTACAAAAAAATAACTGTTGCAAGAAGTTGCTTCTTCTTACCTTCTATACATTTTGGCTTATTGCCTCTTCCTTCATTCGCAACTATCCGTCACCGTTGCCAACAGCTAGTAAAAGTATATTTTAGGGTTGGTAACGTTTGCCATTGTGCGCCGACATTTGTTCCGCTTCTTTCACTGCCGGTTGGATTTTCGTTGTTTTGCTAAATTCCGACAATTAAAAATTATTTAATAACAGAAAAACTCCAGCAATTGAACCCACAACTACATTTACTACCCAGCATCATGGATTTTAATTCACTATTGCAGCAAGCCCAGCGTTTAACAAATGAGACACAGAACTCGGAGGAGTTGCCTCGTGTTGAGCGTACCATTTCGCAAGTCTTGGAAGCCACCAAGGAGCTACATTCACGCGTTACTCAAACTGGAGCACAGGACATACAAGCGTAAGTACAGACTTTTTGAAAAATGCAAGAAAATAAACTACTTTCAATTCTCTGCTAATTCCAGGCACATTTTACTGGGCTCAAAAGGAATTGATTTGCCAAAAATATCGCAAAAATTGGAATCGTTGAATGCCCGCAAAACTTTTGAACCTTTGGATCCCATTGCCGACACCGATATACAGAGCTTTTTGAAAAATGAAAAAGAAAATGCCATATTATCCGTCATCGAGGAGGTGCACAAGAATGTGAGTGTTGAGTTTATAGTAATTTCAGTAATTTCCATAGCTATGTACTTAAAACATTCTACTTTTCCTTGCAGTCATTTTTGAATGCCCAAAAACGCAAATGGGAACACATAAAATCCGAATGGCGGCAGGAAAAAATGAAATTAATGAATGCTCTGGTGGGCCCGTCACAAAATTGGATTGATATTCAAAAACTTCCGGAACAAACAATTATCAATGAGACTTTTGGCACTCGTTCTTGTTTGAATAGGATTGTAAGTAACTTGAGAGCCACAAAATTACATTAAAACAGAGTTTATTGCAAGAAACTTGTCTTTTTCTCCAAAACTCAGTTTTTCTTAAGCGTTAATTATTGGATTAATATAATTTATTTTATAGGAAATGGCTTATGCTCGTGAGGTCTACGATTACAATGCTATTGTCATTAAAGGTGCCTTCCGTCCAAGTCTGGTACAGAGATTTGCCAAAGTTGCCCAAACATTCGATGATCCAAAAGTCAATGAAATTTGGGAAATCATGAAGTATATGGTCGATGTAACACCCGTATCACGAAACCGAGATCCCATGCAAAGCCGTCAACAAGTAAATCAATTTGTGGATCAAGCCAAAAAGTATTTGGAAAACCGTTACAAACTCTACATGTCCACAATAATTAGTGGCAATTTGCGGGAAGCCCAACGTGGTGGCGTACCAAGCATCTTTAATTTGGTTTCATCATTTGTGGGCTTGACATTCAATCAGGGCAATTGTTTCGGTTTGCAAGATGCTACCATAGACGGAAAACCATTGTGGCCCATGGTATATTATTGCCTGCGATGTGGTGATTTACAGTCTGCCTTGAAATGCATGCAAATGGGAGGGTATGTAGGAGCGATATTTCCGTTTGAGATATTCATTTTTAAATGTAAATGTTTTACAGAGCTGGTCATGAAGAGTTTATGCAAGTATTGGAAGATAAAATTAATAAACCGGAACAAAAGATTAATACAAAACTTGAGGGCCAACTTAAACTGCATTACTGTAACAAAATTAAGAATTCCACTGATCCATATAAGAAAGCGGTAAGTTGTAGATGGAAGTCAAACAGAAATTATGATTATGAACCTAATAGAACCTCCAAAGAACTAGAATAATCGTTCGTAAAACTTTTTGTGTCAGAATACTAATTAAAAATGTCAGCCACTAATTAAAAATGTCTTTTCAGGTTTATTGCATTATTGCTGGTTGTGACCCCAATGAACAACATTTGGAAGTGGCTAAAACAACGGACGATTTCCTATGGATCCAATTGTCAATTCTACGCACCGATGTTAGCGACAATTCTGATGCCTTAACATATTCTGGGCTACAAACTATGATATTGGAAAAATACGGGGAAAAACATTTCAATGCTGGTGAACAACAGCATCTTTACTTCCAGGTTTTGGCATTAACCGGTCAATTTGAGGCTGCCATTGAGTTTCTTTCACGCACAGAAAAATATCGTGTTCATGCCGTGCATATTGCCTTAGCTCTCAATGAAATGTTTTTAATTGCTGGCCCAAGGAATGTACAGGAACCACTTTGTAAGTAAAAAATGAAAAACCCATTTTTATACGGAATATAATTTTACGTTTATAATATATGTATAGTGTCTGTGGACATAGAAGATCCCATACCCATGCGTCGCCTAAACATTGCCCGTTTGGTTATGTTGTATGTTAAGAAATTTGAGATCACTGATCCCGCCGAAGCTCTGCAATATTTCTTCTTTTTGCGTAATCTTAAAGATCCTGAGGGCCGTAATCTATTTTTGGTTTGTGTCAGCGATTTGGCCATCGAGTGTCGTGATTATGATTTAATATTTGGTAAAATGATGCCAACTGGTTTGCCTGCTGGGTGAGTTTTAAACTTTATGAGGTTAAACTCCCAAACGAACTTTTATTCACGATTATTATCTTCCCTTTTTTCCAGCGGTCTATTCCAACAGTTTGATTGTGTTGAGTTCGACACTCGTGTGGCTGCCGGCATGGTGGCTGAGGAGTTGGTGCGCAAAGGAATGTTTGAGGATGCCATTAAGTTATTCGATATTGCAAATGTAAGTATCATCAAAATTCCTTCTTATGATTCATTTAAAAAATGTTGAGTTTTCTTTCTTGCAATAGATGCAAAGTCAATCTTTGCGTTATCTCTCTTTGATGCTCTCACAAGTGGTACATCAAAGTTCCAAAAAAGGTTCTTTGCGGGAACGCCTCTCTATTATGGCTTGTGATTTTAGCGAACGTTTACGTGGCAGCCGCATTGAGTGTGAACCTCAGGTTTTAGCCACCTTTAATTTGCTCACCGAGTTGGTGGCATTCTTCGACTATTACCATGAACGTAAATATCAAATTGCTTTGGAAGTCCTGGCCAACACGAAACTAGTTCCCATGTCTATGAATGATTTGGAAGAATGCATTAGTAATTTCAAACGTCTGGGCGGTGAAATTTGTAAAGTTTATCCAGATATTCTATTGGCCGCCATGGATATTTTGTATTCACAATACAAAGCTGTAAAGGGCAAAGATTCAGTGATGCTAGATAGTGGCCGTGATAGTGTAAGCTTAAAATCATCAACAATTGATATTTGCATTGTTTCATTTGTGTGTGTTTTGTTTTTATTTCTAGCAATTACAACATCTACGACAAAAGGCCAAAGCTTTGACAAATATGGCTGCCACAGTTCCATATCGTATGCCAGGCGATACAAACAAGAGACTGGTACAAACGGAAATATTAATGCATTAGTTTTTAAGACGCTTTTCTCTTATAGAGTGTACAAGTAATTGTTTTTTCTAATAAAAAAAAATTAAAATTTATGTTGTGCGTAGTTATCATCCTGAGAAAGGAATTTCATTCTGAAAAATTTCAGTTTTAATGCTGTTTGAGATAAAAAATTATTGAGAATAACGGCTTATTTATTTTCTCCTTAAAATTAATAAATATTACTGTTCGTTTTTAAAAAAATACCAAGAACACCTGAGGCTTTGTGGACTAGGTACCACATGGGGTTGGCAGATGTATATCATATTTGGTTGTGTAAAATTTGAAGAGAGTTGGATGCGTATTTCACTTTCTTTGAGAGTTTTGTTTTCCAAAATCTTGAACCCTATGTGGGGAAGGTACCAGAGGAAATGGTCCATTCTCTACCACCTTTATAACAGATCTTGTGTTAATGGAAATATTGAGAGGTACCAAGTCCGATTGGAATCGGATGTTAATTTCGTGTTTAATGAGCTTCATTGATATTCAAAATTTTGACCCTTTGTGGGGGAGGTACCAGAAGGAGTGGACCGATATATCCCATCTTCACACCTGACCTTAGGTTATTAAAAATATTGGGATGTGTGTAATTTGAAGAGAACCGGATGTTTATTTCGGATTTTATGATTGTTTTGGTTAATCCAAACTTTGACCCTTTGTGAGGGAGGTACTAGAAGGAATGGTCCGATCTCTACCATTTTTATAACAGATCTTGTGTTGATGAAAATATTGAGATGTGCCAAGTCTGAATGAAATCCGATGTTGATTTTGTAAGATTCATAAAATATACAAAATTTTGAACCATTGTGGGAGAGGAAACAAAACTAGTGGACCGATATATTCGATCTTCACACTAGATCTTGGGTTAATAAAAATATTGTGATGTATGTAAATTGAAGACAATCGGATACTTACATCACATTTTATAAGAGTTATAATTATTCAAAATTTTGACCCTTTGTGGGGGAGGCACTTGATGATGAATGACCGATATTGTTCATTTTCGAACCTGACGTAGCACCCATGGAAATATTAAGATTTGCACAGTTGGAGCAAAATCGGATTATCCTTTCTCTTTCTATGCAGTAAATTATTTTCTTTGAAAATGTTGACATTTTGTGGGGGAGCTACAAGAGGGAGTGGAACGATATTGTCCATCTCCGAACTCGATCTAAGTTTGACAAAAATATTACGATGTACCAAGTTTGGATCAAAACGGGTTTATCTCACCCTGTATAGAAGATCTACTAGCTATTGAAGATCTTCCACCTATAGTTTCCTTACATGTCCAAAAAAGACCTGTAAAACTTCTTCCATTTATAGGCAATTTATAAGAATAAAAATGAACACGATTTTTTTTATTGTTGTATGTTTATTTCTTAACTATGGAAATGTTGCAAGCAACAAAAATGTTGTTAAACGCCAGAAGTTGCCATTACAAATATATATCATGTTATATAAAAAATAAAAAAGTAGTATCTGGCAAATAAGAATATTAAGAAATTTAATACTAAATTGGTATATAAAAAAAATTAAATTGTCTTTAATAAAAAAATTGTCCCTCACATTTAATTAGTTCATTGCAATTAGAGCAAAGTATTTATCCTAGAGTTTTAAGATTGCATTACATTTTGTAGTTGTTTGTTTAAATGCAAAATTGGTAAGTTTTGTGCGCCACTGCATTATTAAGCTAGAAAAAAATCCTATAAAGCATAGTGTTTGTTATTGTAGTTTACCATCAACGCTTACATAGCTAAGTATTCGAATATTTTGAAAGTTAATATTGCAATTTTTAGGTTTGAAGTTTCAAATGGTTCCCATCTATGGTTCTAACCCATGTATTGATAGGAAGCACATACTGGTTCCTGACCAGAATGTGAGGAAGATTGCAATGATAAACACTGCAAATGACAAGAACGGCATAGGAGGCGATTATCCAAGGGATAGCATCGCTTGTCTGGTTCATCGGTTAGCTGCATGCCACACATTTCACAAATATAACAATCTACATGGAAATCTTTATCCATGGAGACAACACGCACCGTTTCATCTGTTCCCTCGACGGGAGTAATACCTAAGAAGAAAAGTCATTAAAATTTTAGTTGTCTAAAAAATGATCTCGCAGAAATACAAACCTTTGCCACAGCTGGCACATTTTGGTGCAAACATGCGATGATAATCATTAACACAATAGATCTTGTGATCTACGTCCACCGTGAATGGTACACCATCTAAACATTCATTACAAATACAACAACGGAAGCAGCCAGGATGATATGATTTGCCCATTGCTTGTAAAATCTATAGAAAATCAAAAGAAAATAGTTTAAAATTGCCATCGATCTTTAATGGAGTATCGTATGCATTACCATTTCCATTATCAAGTGACCACAAATTGCACATTTTTCGGCTGTTTGTTGGAAGCCGGAATACTATAAAATAAATTGATAATCCCACGATATTTTAACTTAAACAAACAAATGCTGACTATACCTACCATATAATCTTCTTCACAATACACACGACCATGTACATTGTAAAATGCCTTGCCGCGCAGGGCACGACCACACGAACAACATATAAAACAATTGGTGTGATATAAATTTCCCATGGCCTGACATGCCTGCCCAGCCCCCTTTACTTTCTCACCACATGTATGACAAATACCTGTTTTACAAACGCAAAATGTGGGCAATTTTTTATTTTAAATTTTTGCAAAATTCTTACCAAAATATTCTCCTTGCTCTTCGCTTTGCTCGATTTCCTCTTCTAGCTGACGAGTTAATTCCTCGATTTTTCTTTGTGCCTCTGACGGACCAGCCGGACGGGGTGGTGTTACACTATAGGGTAGAAGATTTTTGGCTAAACCTCCTATAACAAATATAGAATTTATTATTTTGAAATTTTATAAAAAATGAATACAAATCCTACCAGTGCTGCCTGCTGATGGTGTTGGAGAAGTGGCTGGAATACTATTATTGCTAGTACTTGCATGTATGGGTGTAAATAGTTTACTATTGTTGGCAGTGGCAGCTGAGGATGCAGCACCTGTTGGTGATATTCGACGATTTTCAACATTGGCTTGTGTTAGATTCGATTTGGGCACGGATACCCCAATCGAAGTTTTATCCAGAGTATTATAAGATGTTGTGATTGGCTTTTGAGATTTCAATAGTGGGCTACTATTTAAATTAGCTGTCATGCAGACATAATCGGAACTATTAATTTCTTCAATGTAATTGGGATTGACGGAGACATTTATTCCGGCAGTGTGATGCTACAAAGAAAATAGAGAGAGATTATTAATGTTTTTTACATTTGGAGGAAATATGTAAACCTTCATAATGAGTTTCGGATAGAGATAGCCTCTAATTTGATGTAAGTGTGATAAAAACCTTTGCATTCAAAATTTTGTTTAAACCTATAAACTCTAGATTTTTAATCGATTTTTTTTTAACTAGACATATTTTTCTGGAGGATTGAATTCATCTTCGGCTAGACACAATTTTGGCGATCGTTTTATTTGATTTTTATACCCTCAGCCATATAGTTGAGAGGGAAAATGCGAAAATGGACAATATCGGTCCACTCCATCAACACAAGATCTGTTATAAAAATGATAGAGATCGGACCATTCCTTCTGGTACCTGCCCCACAAAGGGTCAACGTTTTAAGTAAACAAAATACCCATAAAATCTGAAATAAGCATCCGGTCCTCATCAAATTTCAAAAATCCAAATAATTTTGGTAACGCAAGACCTGCAAACCCCTTCTGGTAACACACTCACAAAGAGTCACAATTTCTAAGACTTATATCTGTCATGTCTTCCGAAACAAGTTCTGCTATATCTAAATATTTCTCTTTACCAGAAATTCGATATGAATATGTGCTTTATCGAAATTTATGATTTCGCATGTTCGATTTCCTTCAAATTTTGCACATACCAATATTTTTATCTTTATTCAATATGGAATACTTCGGTCCGCTTATAACATGATCTATGTATCTACTTATTGTCTCAGAAGGCTTTAGTATTTTGTAATAATTTCAATAAATAAGTGTTATTAAGAAATTACAAGAAAAATATAGACCTCGAGTTCTTTCCCTAAACAACTAAAATGGAACAATGTTTTTTCGTCTTACCGTCGTCTTTAAAGGTGTATGCTGATGCAATTTAAAATCATTTGGACCACTCAAATTCGAGTTGGAACTAGCATATGATTTCGATGGCGAAATAGCGGTACTAGGTAAGGAGAGATTACGATAACGCTGGGTTGGGGAATTTGGTTCACAAGCCGACAACGAGGCCGCTTGTCCTGCCTGGGCAGCCGTTTTCAATGATGAATTCGATGTGCTGCGACGATGCATCGGAGAAGCCAATAAATCCAATGTGTTAACACCAAGATTGTTGGTGGTGCTTTGATTATCCATCAATTCTAAGTTTTGTTGTCGACCCGATGCAATGTTAGCATGATGTTGTGGTGATGATAAAACCGCCTCAATATTATGATGCTGATAGATGGTGGCTGTGGCTGGCGAAGCCTGAGGTTGGGCTCGTTGGCCAGAATTAGGTATGACCCGCATATTTTCATAGATTGGATTTGCGTCAGGATCTGGTACCGGTGTATGGGCATAACGAATAGAGCTACCACCGCTAGGGTAACCCATACCGGGTGGGGGTTGCATTACCATATAATGTCCACGTTGTATTGCCTGAGAAGCGGGACTTTGTGGTTGGGCCTTGCGATTAATGCTCTCAAAATGCTTCCCTGCATTTACACCACTTCCGGAGCCATGATAAAAATCCAAATTTTCATAGACCGGCGAATTACTGCCATTTGTTGGGGCCTCTCCACCAACCAATCTTGGAGAATATTGTTGTTGCAAGTGCAACTGTTCAATTTGTTTAGGTGTGGCATACTTTGAAGCAGCCGCAGAAGTGATATTGGTACGTTCGTACATACGATAATCCTCATGGGATGGTTGTTGCTGCAATTGTCTTTGGGATCTTGGAGTACTATTGGAATTGGCACCAACATGCTGCGTATGATTAACTGGACCACCACTTATATTCAGACGTTGCATCAAAAACTCATAATCAGACGACTCATTTGTGGAGATTTGAGAAGCCATTGTGTTGTTGTAATTAACAAAACCCACCGAAGTTTTTTTTCTTCTTTCATTCACTTATTGGCCGATTTAATTATCAATGAATCTTATCAATTGGAACATCGGATTTTGTGTGGGTTGGGAAAGATACTTAAATTACTTTTTTTGTTTTCTTTTCTTTTAAAACACTTATTTTTTATTTTTATAGCGTAAGTTGTCCCCCAAACTCCAGATAATGATAATTTGATTCTTCTAGGCTATTTCGATTCTTATGGGGGTAAATAATCGATTTCGATTTTTATTCAGTTAACAATCGAAAGGCGATTATTAAAAGTGCTATTTAAAAGACGGTAGTAAATAGTACTATTGTTTGATATCATAAAGAAAGAAGTAGTAAAATGCTTACACTTCTGTAGATTCTGAAACAGAGTAATTATTTATTAGATTATCCTGATGGAAATTAAAGCCACGTCTATGGTTATCGAAAAAATACATGCGAAAAAACACGAGTTCTAGAAGTGGTTTTGCAGTTTTTGATATTTATTCAAATCTTCATTTGTGAATGCACACAATGGGATACATTAACAGACCTTTATAATTTAATAAATTCTTTACTTTACATATTATGAAATTAATAATAAAAAATTAAGTAATTACTTATAAGGTTTGGTACTAAATCCCTAATACAAATTCCTTCGAAATAATAGAAGGAACATCGGTTACCGCTGTAATATCTTTAAATTCTTGCAGATTCGGGAACAGAGCATATGCTTTTACTGCAACTTTTATGCAATATTGACAAACGATGATGCCAATGGGAAACATATGGCATCTCTATTGTATCGAATAATCGAGGTTGCCATTTGCAGGGAATTATTGCATTTATCATGCCTTGGCAGCCCTGCCATTGTTTACATTTCATTCGTTGTTGGTAGAATTGGGTAGTGTGTTCGTGTAAAGTCTCTGTTCTTCCGTTCTTGTACCCGTTTTTATTATTATTAATTTATTTTTCACTTTTTTTCTGACAAATTTCAAATGTACCTGAAATGCTAATCTCTAATCTTTTTATATAAAAATGTATATAACTCAGTTGATTTTTATTGTTTTACTATCCCCTGTCCTTGCTGAAGTCTGTAATGATGAAATCTCAAGAAGGGATATTGAAAGTCGTTTATCAACAAAAACACCATATCGGGCCATTGCAAACCTCAACGATAAACCACCAGTTGTTGTGGAAGGTATTTATATATATTTATCAAATACGGGTAATTTTTTAAAGTGCTATGATTCCAATAGGATGCCGCCCATCACGTTTATGGTCTACCATACGACATGGTACCAGAAATCCCAGCAAAAAAGTCATTAAACAGGCCAAATCCAAATTGACAGCCCTTAAAGAGGAACTCTTGACAAAAGAAGACACTGAACTGTGCCCCAAATTTTTCGAAAATTTAAGAACTTGGTCATTTAATATTTCGGCAGATGAAGAGAAGTATTTAGTAGCTGAGGGTGAGGATGAATTAATTGAGTTGGCAGAACGCATGCAAAACCGTTTCCCCACCTTGTTGGCCGAAGAATATGATCCGCAAATGTTCTATTTCAAATATACTGCGACCCAGAGGACATTGAAAAGTGCTCAAAGCTTTGCCACTGGATTGTTTGGCAGACATCGAATACGGGAAATTATTTATCCGGAACCGTTGTCAAAGGATCCGGTACTAAGGGTAAGTAAATGATGAAATTTGCCATATAATATAGAATCAGAAAACTTTTCTTAAATGCATTCTTCAACGTTGATGGTTTATACACACATCTGGCTATAAATATACAATTATGTTTATTGTAATTGTGTACATGTTTATAAATACAATTTTATCTTGTGACTGCATTTGATTTTTGTACATTTACACCGCGACAATATAAGGAAGTATTGAAATAAAAAATAATTGTCATACAATGCATTTTAGTCATTGCACCTTCAACGTACTATATATGAAAACATGTTCAACGACTGTGCCCAGGAAGACCCTTGTCGTATAAAATTATTGTATTATCAACGTCAAATACATAAATATTGTATGAAAGAAATGTGCATTGCGAAGCGATCATTAAAGAAATAATCCGATAATATTCATCTTTCGCTCTTTTTGAACCATTTTAAAAAATAATTAGAAAAAAATATGGAAACAACTTCTGTATCTAATTTTAAATAATTCTGAGAGAAAGCAGGCATAGCTTCAAGTTTGTATTCCAGTAGTTTTACGAATGGTTCATATCACCTTATTGCACCATTAGTAGCATTTATTTAACTTTGTTGTGAAAAACACTGAAGGCGTACGCAGGGAATTACGTAGGAGTGTAATATCTGTTCTGAACCGAACCTTTAACTAAACCATTCACAAAAAAAATAAAAAAGCTGTAAATTCAACCGGACCGAACTTTGAATACCCTCCACCATTTGGAACGCATTTGACAATTTTCAAAAAAGTAAAATCCATTAAAAATTCTTTTAAAATCTTAAAAATTCCTGCCTATGCAGGTGCCTATGTGAAAGCTATTAAAATATTCAAATGCGAAACTTGAAAAAAAAAATCGGTGAATAATGTAGCTAAAATTATCAAAATACCGAATATAGGGAGGTACCATTATATGGGGGCTATACGAAGACGTGGACCTGCACACATAATTTTCTGTTGTAGGCTGTATTATCCATTACGAACTTCAAATACCCACTTTGAAACAATTCTGATCAATAATGTCGCAAAAATCAAAATATGGAATATCGGGAGGTGCCTTTATATGGGGGCTATACGAAGACGTGGACCTGCACAGACAATTTTCTGTCAAAGGCTGTAGTATCCATTTTCAACTTCAAATACAAAATTTTAAACATTTCCGATGAAAGTGTCGCTTAAATCACCAAAATACCGAATATTGGGAAGTACCATTATATGGGGGGCTATACCAAAACGTGGACTTACATGGCCTATTTTCAATACCAAAAATCCTGCAGACATAATATACATTTGAGTAAAATTTTATACACCTTCTTCATTTCGTTTGGAAGCTAGACGGACGGACATCGCTACATAGAATTTTATGCTGTTCAAAAATATATATACTTTTGGGGTATAAAATGTATATTTCGAAGTGTTACAAACGGAATGCAAAACTTAATATACCCTCTACACAATGGTGGAGGGTATAAAAGGAAATGGTACAAAAAGTACGAATTTGTTTTTTTTTTTATTAGAAAACAAAAAACGTTCAAACAACCCCGCTAAAAAGCTGTTTTTGGTAAGAAGACAGCAATTTGGTTTAAATGTCATACTTTTTTCGGCACACTCCCACCAATTACATTTTCTTTCCTCACAGTTTGTACGTGTCAATAGTAAAAACAAAATAAAAAAGAATCACACTTAACTTTTCCATCTCTGTAAGTGAAGAAGGTACAACACGACAACCCTATTTTGATTACAAACACTTTGACAACCCTTTTGAAAGTTGTTTGTTTTGACAAGCGTACGAACGGGAGTTGCCGCACATCTAGCCAATGTTTTCGTTCTTTCATTACATTGTTGTTTTCTGCAGTTTCTTCTCTACCTGAGCGAAATGTTAATTTAATACATTTTTATTGTTTACCACCTGATTGGTTTTTTTGTCATTCTCTTTTATCTCTATTATTCGAAATTGCGCTATTTTCTTTCCCAATGCTATGTCAATATGGCAACGCCAAAGATTATGCATGCGGACAGAGTGAAAAAGTCAAAAAGTTGAAACCGTAATGCGTATTTTTTACTAGCGTGGTAAATTTACAAAAGAAAAAACGCAAAATTCATTAAATATACGAAGAAAATTTATGGCCAATATCGGGCATTGGTTGTTGTACTCTTAAGATTTATTGAAATTCAGTGCAATATCAATTGGTAACAAAGTGAAAATCGTGGAATATTTTCCACACAAATTTGTGGTTATGTTTTGAAGCGAAGGCGAAAAGAAAAAAAGTCAGTCTGACATAGATTGTTGTTTGGTGTTTGTGTTGCAAGTGGAAGTGGTGCAGAAGAAACAGAACAAATAAGTAGAAAAATTCCGGTGCAGAAAGAGAACACGGAAGTAATATCAAAGATTTAATTTGCAAATAAAGTGATCTGCGATGTCTCCAAAAACAAAAATGACAACCCAATAAAGGCCACACAGCAAAAACAACATCACCACCCTTGTCTGTATGACAAGATAAAAACGCCTTGTTCAATCAGCCTCCTTGTCTCGGCGGCTATTGTTGTACAGTTTAAATAAAAAAAAAACAGCAACAACATCATTGTAAGACATTCGGATTCTTGGAAAATGTTCGAAACACACTACATTAATGCGAATGTAAACAATAGTGGAAATAGCCCTCCACCGCCAGCGGCTGCTACTACACCCATACCCAGCGGTTCCTTTGGTGCTGCCAGTTCACTTGCCAGTGCTACGATATCTACAATGGCAACAAGTATTACCGGGACCAGTGCCAGTAGCAGCGGAGGCACGAATAGTCGAAAAACATCTACATCGGATAGTCAAACATTGCCCAAATACTTACAACAACTGTCGCTTGGTGAACATTTGGAAGTGCTTCCCGACCATCGCTGTCCCCTGTGTTTCCAGGCCAAACGACATCATGAAGTTATAGAGGCTATAAAATATGAACGTCAGCCTTGGCGTATACGTGAACGAATGAAAACCGCAAGTGTTGCCTTGGTCTTGTGCCTAAACATCGGTGTTGATCCTCCGGATGTTATCAAGATACAACCATGTGCTCGACTGGAATGCTGGATCGACCCTTCCTCGGTATCGGCACCCAAAGCTATGGATCTCATTGGCGCAAATTTACAAATGCAATACGAACGCTGGCAGCCTCGAGCTAGATATAAGAAGTGTCACGATCCCACAGTAGAAGATGTGAAAAAGTTGTGCACCTCCTTGAGACGTAATGCCAAGGGCGAACGCATCCTTTTCCACTACAACGGACACGGTGTACCAAAACCAACAGCCAATGGAGAAATTTGGGTTTTTAACAAAACCTTTACTCAATACATACCACTGAGTATATTCGAGTTACAAAATTGGATGGCGGCTCCTTCAATATATGTTTATGATTGTTCGAATGCTGGCATTATTATCCAATCTTTTCTGCAGTTTGCCGAACAGCATGAACGAGAAATGGAAAAGGCAATGGCTGCTGCCAACCAACGTGTTCCACCTGGTCAGGGCCAAACATCGCTTCCTGCTGCCGTTAGCTATAAGAACTGCATCCACTTGGCGGCCTGTTCGGTGGGTGAAATTCTGCCCATGAATGCCCAATTACCAGCCGATTTATTTACATCCTGCCTTACCACTCCCATAAATATTGCCCTAAAATGGTACACGATGAGAGAGAAGTTCGGCTTGGTTCCACGACTGCATAGTGAGTTCATCGATAAGATTCCCGGCAAGGTTAATGATCGCCGCACCATGATGGGTGAACTGAATTGGGTGTTTACAGCCATCACTGATACAATAGCTTGGAATACATTGCCACGAGAGTTGTTTCAAAAGCTATTTCGCCAGGATTTGTTGGTGGCCAGTCTTTTCCGTAACTTCCTGCTGGCTGAACGAATCCTCAGGTCGCATGACTGCACACCAGTTTCGCATCCTGCACTGCCTCCCTGTTTTCGTCATCCCATGTGGACCGCTTGGGATTTAGTGGTGGATTTGGCTTTGCAACAGCTGCCAGATATTTTGGAGAGAGGTGCGCCCTATAAACAATTGCCCTTCTTCGAGGAGCAGCTAACCGCATTTCAGGTGTGGCTAGATCGTGAGTCAGAATCACGCACGCCACCCGAACAACTTCCCATTGTACTGCAAGTTTTACTATCACAAGTCCATCGCTTGAGGGCCCTAGAACTGTTGGCCAGATTTCTTGATCTCGGCCCCTGGGCTGTGAATCTTGCCCTAGGTGTTGGCATATTTCCATATGTACTTAAATTACTACAAAGCTCGGCCAAGGAGCTACGTCCAGTGTTGGTCTTCATTTGGGCCAAAATTCTAGCTGTGGATCCCACATGCCAGCTGGATTTAGTTAAGGAGCATAAATACTTTTTGGGAGTGCTGCAGGACAACACTGTGGTTAAGGAGTATCGCACCCTGTCGGCATTTGTCTTAGCCTGTATTGTAAATAAATTCCTTTTGGGACAAACGAGCGCCCTGCAAGGCTCTTTGGTGTCCATTTGTCTGGAGCAGTTGAATGACGAAAGTTGGTTGCTGAGACAATGGCTAGCCATATGTTTAGGTAATTTACACAAATTAGCATTGAATATGTTCCTGATTTTCATTATTTTTCTTTATTCCTACCATTTTCGATAAAGGCATGCTGTGGCAAAACTTTGAAAAGGCCCGTTGGTCTGGTGTACGCGATTTGGCACATGAAAAATTATATCCCCTTTTGAAGGATCCCATTCCGGAGGTACGTGCTGCGGCAGTATTTGCCCTGGGCACATTCATTAGTTCAGTAACAGACCGTTCCGAGGAACACGCGAATAATATCGATCGGATAATAGCCATAACACTGCTTGAAAATGTTGCCGAAGATATGTCACCATTGGTGCGCATGGAGCTGGTTGCTGCCCTGCAATGGATGGTGTTGCTGTTTGAGTCGCAATTCGTTACGGTATACATGCAGGAGCACATGTCGTCGTCATCGGTCAGTAGTGAGCGAAGTGCCAGTGTTAGCCATGTTATGCCTGGGGCACCAATTTCAAGTGTCGCCGGCCATGGTGGTGGTCATCACCATCATCATTCCACTCACAGTCTGGAGCGTCATGCCACTATGCGTCGTGGTGTTAGTTCCAGTTCTATATCCAATATAAGCTCCTCAGCAATACCCTTTCAGTCGATCTTTTTGAAACTGTGGCAGGGCATCTACCAGTTAAGCCACGATCCATTCCCCAAGGTTGCTGAAATTGCCCGAGAGGTTATCGGATTCATTAAGAATGCCGCACTTTTGTTGATAACCGCCAAAGAGGCTGCCAACGAGAAGTGCATTAGCTTAAGCGTCAGTTTGCCGCCTAGTCCAAATACACGAGTTTCGTATTTGAGTGGCGGTGCAGCTGGTACCGGCGAATCACCACCCACGGGTGGTGGCAATGTGGCCACTGGTCAGGGAAATGCTAGTCCCTGGGCATCGAAACTGAGAAATATGAATGATCCACAAGCAATGTTGCATCGGAAGTTACGCACAACGTCGATGAATGATGAAACTGATAGCGCTGGTCCACACATCTCGATGGGAGGCCATGAAGCAGCAGGCGTAGGTGGAAATGGTGGTGGCGGAGCAGATGGTTCTGCTTCCGGTCACAGCAGTACTAGCGATACAAATTTCGAGTCAAAGTCACAAACACTAAAACCCATTGTGACCACAGAATTCATACCATGGGCCATATCGTACTTTACACGTCCTGGAAAACATCGTTACGCAGCCGATAAGGATAGTGAAAAAGTCCAAGTATTTCCTGTCGATAAGAATGCACCTGTGTTGCGGGCTCGGGAATGTCGCTTCCAACGTAATCGTCAAATACGCAGTCAAGCGCGCAACCAGCAGGCCAGATCTCTGCGCATTGACACACAAAGTTGGGTGCGTAAAACTCAGTCGACACCCAGTCTCGTGCGGCTGTTGCCCTACGAACAACAGATTGCAGTTGCCTACCGGGAGAAGGTACTCTTGTACGACTGGCAACGCAATACGGTAAGGACCTTTACTCCCGCTACAGTGCCATCATCGTCGTCGTCAGCAACAACCTCACGCAATCGAACGTCTTCGGCTTCGCCACCGGCTCATATGCCACAGAACAGTAATGTTGTTGCACGCGTCAGTGCTATAGAGTTCCTAAATTCTCAAGATTTGCCGTTAACATTGGTGGGCCACGAAGATGGTGTGGTTCGCATTTGGCAGCCAAATGCCAGCAATAATGGTGAGGAACAAAGTCGAGATTCTCCCGGCCGTTTGGTTACAGCATGGGTAGCTTTACCCGCGTTACAGGCATCTTATCTGGGGACCTCACCTAGTTTGGGATCCTCATCTAAGTATACACGCAAGGATATTGCCGGAGATGGATGTGGCTTGGTGACAGCTTGGCAGCAATGTTCACAGCAATTGGTGGTAGCCGGTGGTTCGAGTCGTTTCATACGCATATGGGATGTGGAAAGAGAACTGCGCCTGAGTGACATCCCCATTGGTAGTGAGCACAGCATTAGGGTGCTCTCGCCGTTTACCAATAACGTTTGCAGTGACATTATTGTTGGTGGATGTGGCAACGGCAGTGTACGACTCTACGATAAACGCTGCGCTCCACAGGAGGCTCCCATTCGTGTCTATCGCGAGCATACTGGTGCAATACTGAGTGCCTGTCTAAGGGACAATCAGACGACACTTGTAACAGGTTGTTCACAGGGCAAAATATGTGTTATTGATTTGAGATCGAAAGTACCCAATGGTGTTCTAAGTCAGTGGGATGTGGGCAGTGATGTTACGGCCATAGCATCCCATCCATCGGTTGATATGATAGCAGCGGGCAGTGCCAACAAGATAACGATTTATAGTAGTCAACAGGGCGGTCGGGTACTGAGTACATTGCGTAGCAATGAAAGTTTTATGGGGCCCAAGATTGGACATCCCACATGTTTGGCTTTCCATGTGCACAGAATATCGTTGGCTGTGGGTTTTGTAGATAATACGGTAGCTGTGTATGAACCATCACCAGGTAGGGAACATATATTGCTTTTCATATTTGATTATTTGTATATATTATGGGTATTTTTACTAATTTATTTATTTTCTTTTTTATCTTTCAGTTTTATAAATTGTGTAGTCGCTGGCAAAGTGATGTCGATAAAAATCCTCAAACATTTGATAATGTGCGTAAATTTCTCCAAGGCGAACATATGCTGGATGCCATCCTCTATGTCCAAAAGAAAACCAAGTTAACACAACTCGATGCTAGCCTTCTACGTCTTATTTATACCATTTGCGGTTTCGAAACGGCCTGGCAAAGACACAAGCCACCCTCAGTTTGGTGTCAATTGTTGGATCGAAAAACAATGGATGTTTTAGAGTTTGCCGAAGATTTGGAGTACTATTGGAATGATGGCTATGGCTTTGATCTAACACATCGAATTGCTTGTCCAGCCATACAGAATATGTTTAAGCACATTGAGTGAGTACTTGAGATTAATGCACGCCTTCAGTTGGTTACTAATAGCAATTGAGTTTCTAGCCCCCAATCACCATTGCCGAATTCAACGTTTTATTTTACGCATTCCGGAACATTGCTTAAGCTTTTGGCGCATTTGGGTCTATACAAAGATCCAACAGCATTGACATACCAGGACTTTGGCAAGCCACGTAAATGGCGTACAAGTGAAATTGATGCGTTTGCCACAAATGTGGCATTTGTCTTGTATGAGTGAGTATCCTGTATCTGTGAGTCGATAAAATATGAACTAATTTGTATTTATCCTTCTCCCGGCAGATGTGATAATGACGAGCCGCAGGTTCTGACAATGCACCAAGAGCGTATAGTCCACCTTCCGGGATGTCCGCAAGACAGTGATTTGTGTAGTTTAAATACCTTGCGCCAGTTATATGCCGCCGCCAGTTTGGATAATTGCAATTTTGATGAGATGTGTTTTAAGTAGTAGTAGTTTCGCACCACCGGCTTTCGAGTTGATATTTGTTTCCTTGAAGATGACGCACCACCCCTATATTGTCAAATGTTTTATTGGAGATGCTAAGTAATTCACTTGTGTAAATATTAGTGAAAATTTGGTATACCTACCAGCATCTACAGGCTACAGCATTAAACTAATTGCATTGTTCAGCGACTATCAATTAATTAATGTTTTTTTCTGCTGCACCTAACATTTCTACAAACACAGAGATAGAGAGAGAAGCAGCAGCAGTCAATCGATTACCTTTATAATGACCACATATTTTTTTTTGTTGTTAACCATATATACTTACATATAGAGAGTGTTGTAATGTGTAAATATATATATTGTTCTCTACCCCCCCTACCCCTTCCAACAATAATACACTCGTCTAAGATATACATATTTTGCTTCCTGTGTTTTATAACGAAATACGTCGCCTTTAAACGTATATTATGGAAAAATAACACAAAAAGTGCTTTCACTTTGTTTTATACTTACATACTAAGCACCTACAAACATCCCTACATACATATTGAGACAAAGATATGAATTCTTAACTTTAAACAAAAACAAAGCTATTAAGGCCCCTAACAAAATGCCCCCAACACACACACACACACCTACATACACAAGAACTAACAAATTCGAAAATCACGATATCTCATTAACGAAACGCGTAGTTAGGATTAACCAATGATAAATGTTTCCATCAATTGCTATACACGATAACAAGTTATAATCTAATCAAGCACACACTCACATTCATTATGCCCCCCGCATTTTTGCCTTCTTCTTTTCTATTTTCTATATATCCTGTAGTTTTAAGTAAAAAAAAATAAAATAATTGTTATTGCTTTTTTTCCATACATCCGGACTTATTTGAACAAAACTCTTCTGTTAGTGTTTTGTTTTATTCTCCACATTTCTGTATAGTTTTTCCTTTTCCAAACACACTCAGCATAAAACATACATATATATATTTTTGTATTTATAATAAATATATAATTATAAACAATTATAGTTTATAATATGCAATAACACATACAAACAAACGAAGACAAAATAAAGAAAAATAAAAATAGGAATATTTTTATGGATTATTATTATTATTTGATGTTGGACGATTGAACATATGGACATGTCTGTTAGTCCATGTAACTGGGCCGCCTTCGAATAAACATAAGTTTTACCTGACAGAAGACAGGACAGAATCGAAGACTTTCCCTAATGGATGGGTGGATGGATGGTTCCAAACTTCTATTTTGAAGAAAGTCATTTCTTCTTTCAGGAATTTTGTTGGTAGGTTAGAGATAGAAAAATAGTCGCAAATAACTTGCGATAGAGAAACTATATCCTTAATATTCATTTCACTTGGAAAATTTGCCTTGAAAGTTACCGATTTTTGTCGACAAGTGAAAAGACAAGTTAAAAAGTATCAGTCGGTATTGCCGACTGACTTCTGTTAAATTGTTGGCCCCCTATGGAATAGGTTCCAAAGGAATGGGCCAATATTGTCCATTTCGTAAAGGACCTAAATAAATATGATTCAAATATTGCGACGTGCCGGGTTTGGACTTTATCGACTACTTCTTCGACTTTATATGAAATATGTGATAATTTTAAGAAATTATTAAAATGCGCGTGAGGTACCAGATATAGTCGACCAAAGTATTCTATTTTCACACTTCATATATCCATTATAGGGTGAGATAAAAAAACTGCAACCTACCTCAGATTGCTGTCATTTCTAAGCCACTCGTCCGACCGCTGTTAAAATGATTCCAATGACAGTTCATTATATTGTTTACAAGCATAAAAAAGTTATTCGTGATGGAATTTAAGCGTGATAGTTTGATTTTTTTATCGTTAGAGCACTCCAGCATTTAAATGTGAATAAATTTTCTGTGTCTCGTACCATCGCTCGTTACCGTGATACTGGTAGCGTAGCCAGACGTCAGGGAAGTGGACGGTAGAAAACAGCAAATGGTTCAAAAAGTGCAAGAAAATAGACTCAAAAGAGCTAAAGAGTTGCTTCGCTTGGTCAAAAGTGATGAACTGCCAAATTTGGTTCCATCCGATGAGAAAACATTCGTTGTCCAGCATTTTGTAAACAAACAAAATGATCGTTTTTACTTGCCAAAGAGGTTAGCTGACAAATGTGCACCTTCGGTTGGCCACCACAACTCAAGCGCCGGCCATAGTGATGTTGTGGGCCGCCATAACAGCCGATGGTCACTCTCCGCTCGTATTAATCGACCGTAGCATCAGAATAAATGCCAAATATTATCGCGAAAATATTCTGCTTATTTGAAATGAATTTTCTTGGTTGCTGGTGGCTAATGAAAATAATATTTCTTATGAAAATTATATTTCTATAATTTCCTTATAATTTTCATAACACCTAAATACTCAAGGTTAACCAAACAAATAAAAAAATGTTTAGAAAAAGAATTGTGTTAATATGAATTACCAATCACTTCGTATAAATTGGTGTATCTAATTTTGTTCTGTGAGAACATGGTATTAATATTGTCTGTGACACAAAATTGTACTAAACTGGTCACGGGGATACTTCGATACTTTTTAAAACCAAAATTGCACCATTGTACTGAATTTTCCATACCTGTAAATTATTGCCAACTGTCAATAATTGGAAAATTTCTTTATGTGCATATTTGTGGCGAATTAAAATTACAACAATTTGGTTGGCATATAACATGGTAGAATAATATAGGTAGACGCATCGACACAGCTGCTGGGACAAAGAACTGTCAAACCAATTTTGGAATTGAAAATATTGAATGAAAAATTATTTAAATTTGTAAAAATTGTTAAAAATCTCGAATTATAATAACCTCCGTAAGACGTCGTATAAGAAAACATTTAAAAATCTATTCATATTTCAAAAAACATTTAAAATTTTTTGACATATCAATGCTCCCATGGCATATCAAGTTGCCACCAGCTGGCCTGATAGGGCTACCTTGTAATTCTACCATGCACCATTCTGTTTACTGTGTAATAGAATGAGACAACAATAGTTCTATATATATAAAATACAATTCGTTATCAATTCACTGTGAATCAATAAAAAAAAAGAAGACTACTACTACTACTCTCTAATTTATTGAAGTTTAAAGACGAACCAAATCATCAAAGTCTGGAAATCTAGAAAGCACGAAGAAACTCAAGACGCTAAAATAAAACATCAAACAAAATACCATTGAAAACTTTTAAGAGAATAGTAACGAACTTCCACTTTATTTCATACTAATGCAATAGCCCTGTAGGACAGTCGAAAGTAGCAAGAAGAAAAATGGATTTCGGAACACTACTCCATATGGCCAAGAAAAACAGTGAAACTAATAAAAATGATGTAAGTAAATTGGCTGGCAGTAATTTACACAGTTTTACACACAATTACAAATTTCACCACAAGGAGAGTTTGGGTCAGTGACCCAAATCTGTAATAGCCTCAGAGATGCAGCAGTGATCATCTGTATCGTATTTAAATGTTGTTTTTGTTGTCTGTTTTTAATGTAGAAATCTGTTGTTTTTTTTCTCTTCCCAATTAGGGAAAATATTACAGCACAAAGTTTGCTCCCCCGAAAAAGGAATCGAAGGAGAAAAAGTTATCAGACAACATTAAGAAGTTCTTGCAAAAAAAGGAGGAGGAAGAAAGGGCCAAACAGAAGGAACAACAGGAAAAGTTAAATACGCTGCTGTCCATGAGAGATGAGAAATCGAAAAATAAAATTAGAAAAATGTTGAAAGTAACTAAGTCGGCCAACAGATCCGTCTTGGAAGATGCTGTCAACACCGAACACACAGCAATTACCATGGCCGGCATTGATCAACCGGATCAAGACGATTACGGCTATGTTTCTACCGAGGCTAATTCCTTTTTCCAAAAATATATTGATAAGGTAAAGCAATCGACATTTTTGCAAAGATTTCAGTAATAAATTATTTGTGTGCTCAGGTTAAAGACGTTAAAGAAGACAAAGGATTTGCTCCAAGCAGGCCCCAGTCGCTCAAGGATCTCACCGGTACAAAAGAGCGTGTGAAGGCTGCCATCACTCGGGAAATTGAGGAGAAAAACAGTCACACTCGTACTCGTACACCTAAGGAACATTCATCCAGTTCTAGTTCTGGCATAAATGTAGCACGGTCCTATCAGACATCGAAAACTCTTTACGATCCCGAAGCTGAAAAGCGAGCCGAGGAGGAGGAGCGTAGAAAACGGGAAGAGGAAATTCGTAAAAAACGAAAAGAGATTCAAAAAAGACCACCACCACCAATGGATTTTCAAGCTTTACTGAAATTGGCCGAGCAAAAACAACACCAACCCGTCGAAGTACCCGTTGTCGTTCCTAAGAAAAAGGAACCCGAAAGACTTTTGACATCACGGGAGAAACGTGAAATGGAGGAAAGAGAAAGAGCTAAAAAGGCGAGAGAACAAAGGGAACGTGAACGCAATGAGGATCCCAAAAAGAGCTCAAGCAAAAGCAGTTCATCGGCTTCCTCCTCTGCAAACAGTGTTCAAAGAATGGAACCCAATGGCAGGATACCCAAGCTAAGTCAAGCAGGATCATCAAATAGCAGTGGCAGTAGTAAAGTTTCATCAAGCAATGCTGATAGGAAACCAATACCCCAGGACCTCAAAAAATCATCTAGCAGTTCAAGTTTAACGAATAGCTCCAAACATACCTCAAGCTCAAGTAACGCAACATCGTCAAAAAGCTCAACACATACTTCATCATCGTCGTCGTCATCCTCACTCTCTTCGAGTACAAAATCCAAACCAAGTGCCTCCAGTAATCAAGCCAGCAAATCTTCGTCGAGCGGTAGTAGCTCTATAAACAATAACAAGACCAACAGTTCTGTAAACAATAAGGCCAGCAGTGTTGGCCAGAAGGCTAATGGTGCTGTGACCAGCAAAAATCCCTATGGAAGTGTAAGCAAACAGCCATATAGTGGACCTGCTCGTGAATTTCCACCGCGTGACCCAAAAGTTACAAAGACCAGAGAATTTCCTCCACCTGATGTTCAAAGGACGAGACAATTTCCGCCGCCAGATGTGCGGCGAGGACCAGGCCCCAGCAAATACAGTGATAACAAAAAATCTTCAGCACCTAAAAGTAAGGCAATACCTATCTTAACAAATATATGTTTTTTCAAATTAATTTTTCTCTTTCTACCAGGACGCATTTTGGATGATGATGATTCCGAATATGATTCGGAGTTGGATGATTTCATCGATGATGGCGATGAGGAAGAAGATTATTCTTCACATATCAAAGCTATATTTGGTTATGACAAATCAAAGTAGGAACAATATTTTAAATTAATGGATTATGTTATTTAACCATACATTTGTTTTTTTTTTTCTTTTTCTAAAATATTACAGATATAGAGATCTCGATGAAGAAGATGATCGCATGATGGAAGCCAGTTTTGCCCAAATCCAACGTGAAGAGTATATCAGTAAAAAGATTGGTATGTATTAGTATGTTTTAACTTCTTGTTGCTTTCATAGTGTAATGGTTTGTTTTGCTTCTTCATTTCTATAGGCATGCAGGAAGATTTGGAAGACATGAAATTGGAGGCCATGGAAAAGAAACGTAAAATGATGAAAAAGCGTCGTCTTGCCGATGATTAGATGATATGATGCAATCATACACATATATTTTTACGCTTATTAACTTGCTTTCATTTCAAGGAGATCGGATTTATATTCACATGGCCAAAAAAAAATCTCTTTAATATAATATGCCTCTATAACCTTAAACATAAGAATCTTTACATATATATGTATGTTATATATTTTTACCCTATAAGTAGAAAATTAAAGTATTTTATAATAAAAAAAATAATGTTATACGGATGCAATATAACCGAAAAGCGTTGTATTTGATATGCAGTGTGTTTGTAGAAAAAAAACGGCCATTTGAACCAATAATGGTCTAATTTTTGTGGTGAAAATGTAAAATTGTATATTATTTATGTTTCCGGGAAGGGGATATTGCTTTTCTTTAAAGATTAACGATCCAACGATCCAAATAGTTTGGAAGCGGTAAGCGTGGACTTTTTTTTAGAAAAAGTAGTGTATTGTGTTTTTTTATTTTTCTAAGGCTAGACATTCGGCATATTTAAATATTTTTAGAAAATTCATCAACTTGGTTCAAAAAACTAAACGAGATTGAGATTACGATACAACCAAAAAATGCAGCTCTGTATTGGAGTCTTATTGTTTCTTTTAAAATATTTTTCAGAAAATGCATATGTGTACAATCATAGTAGAAGAGTATAGGTAGATGCATCAACGCTTAAAAACATTGATATGTCAAAAAAAATTTAATTTTTTTTTCAAATATATGACATGTTCTAGAACCTGCATGAATCTACTAGTTTTGCATTTTTTTCGAAGCATAATTATAGCAAAATACAACTCTGATCCAAAGCAATTTGTCTTATATAAAAAACAGGAAAATCGAAATGAAAAATGAGCATCAAATTGCAAATTTGGGGATCACACTGTCTCTGTCCGATTCTAATCGATTTGCAACTGCCATCAACACATATCGATGTGTCTAAAAGCCGATTTGAAGAGCCCTAGTGCTAAGAGGTGAAGAAGAAGAATTGTTAACCAAGTTTTTACGATGAACGCGTGTAAAAATCTCTAACGCAAACGGATTTCTGTGAAAAATCGTAATAAAACAATTAACAAAATATAATAAATACGCGACGTTGTGTCTAGAACGGCGTGAGACTTCAAAAACATATTTATAAAATATTGAAACTTAAAGTTTTGTGTGAATTTATCTGTTCGTGTTCTTTCGCTTTTGGAATATTTGTTGGCATTAGGAATGAGTGAAACGCGTGAACAAATTTTGGAAGAAATTAAAGTACAAGGTGATTTGGTGCGAAAATTAAAAGCGGCCAAGGAAGCCAAAGAAAAGGTACGTCCCAAGTGATGCCGCAAAAGAATTTCTATTCCTCTTACTCGCCATTATTCACGGTGGCGACAGAGTGGGAGGCGTTGAATTATTCGCATGTTATCATCAACTAACAAAAAAAAAGAGGAGGTATTGAGTAACAAATGTTTGGAGCATATTTTTTCGAGAAATTTAGGAGTCATTACTACTAACCCTTTGTATATTTATCAATACGTATGGACGACGACGGCACGGCACTAACCTACGTGTGTACCTCGGCAAGAGTACATATGTTGTATGTTGGTTGGTTGTGTGCGCGTCTGTATGTTTCATTTTTGAAAAGTGTATGTATCATAAAGTTTAATGGAAAACTCAAATTTTTCAATTCGTTTAGACGAGACTTGATTTTTTTTGTACAACTGTATAATTTGTATTTTGTCTTTTGTTACTTGAGCCCATAAACCCCACAACAAGTATATATCTATCCATCCGCATAATGATCATCCAGAATACTTGTAGATTTCATCAGCCCATCTCACAATAAACCAAAAATTTCGTGCATTTGTTTCTTTAATTTTTTGTTGGTTGTTTGAGTCATCAACTCCATAGAATTTGCTGCACCCCACCACCTTCACTCTCCTCAACCGATTTTGCTCGTGCAATCAAACCACACAATTAGAGCAAAGCTTAGTGTACAACTCTTAACTTTCACGTTGTATTGTAGCTCATTTTTTTTTGTTTTTTGCCAATCATTGTTTCATAGAGTTTTTATGTACCACAATAACTTTTTTTAACAAATTTTGACCCACAATCACTCAACATAACTAAGACTCCAATAAGAAAAAAAACCTGTTTCTTTGTTTGATTAGTGAATGTCTAGTTGGCATTTTGGAAACATTTTGCGCTGGGCTGTCGTTGGCTGAAGGAAAAATAAGTAGGGATTTTCCATTTTCCGCGTTTAAAAATCAGCTGTTGTTTATTTGTTTTTTTTTTATGCTTACCTGTTTACATGTAACCACCATCGAGGCAACCAGCAGCATAATAAAAACAAACAAGACCATCATCACCACCACCATCCTTCAGATGTTTCCTTTCTTATGCGTATTACAAACCCCACCAACACCACCACCACCACGTGCGTGTTGTAAGCTAGAGTGGTGTTGTTTGGACTTCTTGCCATTGTTGTTGGTGACACTGTTGCTGCTATGCTGAGTGTTCAAATACCAATGTTTTGTGAAATGGTTTGGTTTTTCCTTCTTCTAATATTCCAACAGTCTAATATGTGGCTTATGGTTGACCTTGAAGTAAATATGCTAATGTTAAGGATGACTTAGTTCAAATGCGATTTACATTATGGTTTCAGATTGGGAGTGTTATTTTGGGTAGTTTAAAACAATTACAAAACAATGCAGGATAAATTTATTTATCTATCAATTACAATACAAGCATCATAACCATACATTGAATTGTTAAAAATCAAAAAAAAAATTGCCAAATGTCATTAACTGCGACCAGGCCCCAAAAACACCACCTTTCTCCGAGTATGCCAAATGTTTGCAATGAGATATTTGAAACCAGTTTCCATTCAATAATTATTGAGTTGAACTTAAGAATGTAAATGTCTTTTAACATTTCAATTCATTCATATCACAAATCATTCCAAGTCAACGATCTAAATGTATAGGATGAAGAAAAAAAATCAAGTGAAAATTTCAATTTTTTTTCATTTATTCGAAGCAGTAGTAAGGGGATTGTCCAAGATAAACCTCAAAAGGCTATGTATTTCGACACGAATTTTCCGAAAAACTAATTCAAATGAATTTTGATTCTTAGGTGTACCCATAGTAAAACAATAATAAGGTATAGTATGTAAACTCATTTGCTAAGTTTATTATACCATCTACCATAGTATGGAGGGTAAATTAAGTTTGTCATTACGTTTGAAACGCCTCGAAATATATATTTTAGACTCCACAAAGTATATGTATTCTTGGACAGCATAAAATTCTGTGTCGACTTAGCGATGTCCGTCCGTCTGTGGAAACCACTCTAGCTTCCCAACGAAACGAAGTGGGTTGAGAAAATTTTACTCAAATGTATATTATGTCTGCAGGACTTTTCATATTGTTTTGGTATAGTCCCCATACCTCCCTATGTTCGGTATTTTATTGATTTAAGTGACATTATTCACCGAAAATGTTTCAAATTTGGTATTTGTAGTCCGCAATGGATACTACAGTCTATGACAGAAAATTGTTTGTGCAGGTCCACGTCATCGTATAACCCCAATATAACGGCTACATTCGGTATTTTTAAGATTTTAATAGAATTTTTAACGGATTTTATTGATTTTGAAAAAATAAAATATTCAAAGTTCGGCCCGACTGAATTACAGTTTTTTTTTTTACTTATTCAGATTATATTATGACATGCATATTATTATACCTTTTGCCTACAGAGAGAATATATAATAAGATACGGCTAAAATGTGCCTCACCGAATAATGGTTTTAGATCATAGGTCTCTTTGGATATTTGAAGTTGATCCTTCGGTGTCCGACCCTCTGTCTGGCTTGTGCGCACGATAACCCACGAAGGGTTTATCAGAGCTCGTTCAAATTTGGTATATCGTAATACTATTATCAAGCTTAGATTGAGTTGGTAGATGCGTAATCTGGTGTAAATATGGAACCTTTCCCACAAGGGGTCAACGGGTATAAATCATAGATTCTCTTCAAACTCTATGTATTTCTATCAAGCAGAGATCTGATGAGAATATGAAATTTATATTTAAATAATTATACCCTTATAATGTGCGAGACAAGTTATCGATTTTCTTAAAACTTCGTATATTACAATATTTTTTATCAACCATAGATCTAATGTAAATTCGGGACATGTCGGTTGACTCCTTCTGGTACCACACTCCACAAAGGCTACCATTTTATATATATTAATCCTTATTATGTGAAATCCTTAATTCACATTGAGATTTTCCCATAAGATATGTTTTTAACGGTTCTCTCAACGTTTTTATACGCTCAGCTCATATGGCTAAAGAGGATATACATCATTTTATATCGCCAAAACGTGCCTCATCGAAATAAAGGTTTTAGACCATAGGTCTCTTTGGACCAAATCCGTTTCAGGACATTTGGAGTCGATCTAGCGATGTCCGTTTGTCGGTCTGGCTGGTGCGTACGATAGCTCTTAAACTTCCCCCACAAAGGGTCAAAATTTTGAATAATTATAACTCTTATAAAATTTGATGTAAGTGCCAGATTATCTTCAAATTACACACATCAAATTGTTTTTATTAAACCAAGGTCTGATGTGAAGATGGAATATATTGGTCCACTCCTTCTGGTATCTCCCCCACAAAGGGTCAAAATTTGGAATATTCATGAATCTCATAAAACCCGAAATTAACATCCGTTTCTACTCAGACTTGACACATCTCAATATTTCCATCAACACAAGATCTATTATAAAGATGGTAGAGATCGGACCATTCCTTCTGGTATCTCCCCCACATAGGGTTCAAGTTTTTTGAAAAACAAAACGCTCAAAGAAAGCGAAATAAGCATACAACTCTATTCAAATTCCACACATAAAATATTTTTGCTAACGCAAGATCCGTTGTGAAGATGATAGATATCTGCCAACTCCTTCTGGTACTTCGCCCACAAAGCGTTACAATTTCCTATACTTAGCATCTGTCATAACTTGCGAAACAAATATTTTACTGGTTATTGATTGAATATAGAATACCTTTATCTATTCTAATAAAAAACATATATTTTAAATTGTACATTTGTTATATGTATACCTGTATATCACATCTTGAAGCGATCGACGATTACGGATTAGATCAATCTTTTGTTAATCATTTGTAAATATTGGCCTCGCCACATTTGTCGTCTATGTATCATATATATATCTTAGTCTAGCATACTAACAACAATAAGCTTTAGCTTTTTCCCACACCAAAAAGTTCAAATCCATTTAATTTTGTACTAACCCATAATTTTTTGCATTTTGTGTAAAACAAATGTATTTTGCATCGTTTTATTTGTGCATCTGTATTACTTCATGTATAACAATAGTGTTGTGTTCATAAAAAAATGTATTTAAAAAAGAAATCACACTAATATTGAAAATAAGTTTGCAAAAATAAAAAAAACAAAATGAATCCTCCATCCAAAAAACAAACAAATAAATATAACGTTCCAAACCACTTCTAATTCAGTCTCATTATTGTTGTTGTCGTTGTTTAGGTTTAAAAAAGCTTTTTATTCACTAAAAAAGAAAAAAGAACAACCCAGACTGTTCTCCTATTTTATGGACCCAACAAAACAAAATTAAAAACTAAAAAATTTACAAGAAACCTAAGAATTACACAAAATAATTAAATATGTTTCGTAACGGAATTGCGTTGAGCACTCGGTTTGTTACACGAAATTTAAACAAGTCCAGCAGTTGTGCTTGCCCTCGCTTGCTGGCAACACAACAAACAAATCCATCATCCAGGCTGCTGGAGTTAAGCAAAAAAGAAAAGAAAAACGAAAGCAACAATAATAATGACACTGATGATGGAATTGGTGGTAGTGGTAGTGGTGGTACCATAACAAAAACACATCGGCAAATGGAATTGGACAAGGTTAGCATTAATGTTTTGCAATTGCTGTCGAAGAGTTTTTAATGGTGTGAACACATACAAATGTGTGCCTTTCTTATTTGTTTATCTTGCAGATCGATGAGGAGGTGGCCAAGCTGTTGGCCCTTAAGGCCAAACTGGGAGATGAGCCGGTTCAAAATCAAAAATTCACCCTAAAGACGCCCAAAGGCACCAGAGACTATGGTCCCCAGCAAATGATGCAGCGCCAAAATGTGTTGGACAAAATTGTGGGCGTGTTCAAAAAGCATGGTGGGGAAGCCATTGATACGCCGGTCTTTGAACTGAAGGCATGTTTCATTAAATACTAAAAAAAATAAAAGGATTATCTCTTAACTTTTTCCTATTTCTTATTTTTAGGATGTACTGACCGGTAAATATGGCGAAGATTCCAAATTAATCTATGATCTCAAGGATCAGGGTGGTGAAATTCTTGCACTGCGTTACGACTTGACAGTTCCTTTGGCCAGATATTTGGCCATGAATAAAATCTCCAGCCTAAAGCGTTATCACATTGCCAAAGTATATCGCCGTGATAATCCGGCCATGACACGCGGTCGTTATCGTGAATTTTATCAATGCGTACGTTTTCAAATGGCCAAGAAGAGAGCCAAAATCTAATATCATTTTGTTTTAGGATTTCGATATTGCCGGTAGCTTTGATCCCATGCTGCCCGATGCTGAATGCGTCAAGATTGTCTCGGAAATACTGGATGTCTTGGACATTGGAGATTATGTGATCAAACTAAATCATCGCCAGTTGTTGGATGGCATGTTTGAAGCATGTGGGGTGCCTGCTGATAAGTTCCGTACCATATGCTCTGCCGTGGACAAATTGGACAAAGTATGGCATCCATAAAAAAATATATTTTGAAGATATGCAATAATTTCCCCTTTTTAGTCTCCATGGTCTGAGGTGCGCCGTGAAATGATCGATGAAAAGGGTTTGGATGCTGCAGCTGCCGATCAAATCGGTGAATACGTACAATTAAGCGGTGGCTCGGAATTGGTGGAGAAATTGTTGGCAGATCCCAAACTGAAGGCTGTTCCAGCTGCGATGAAAGGCCTGGAAGGCATGCAATTGCTTATGAAATATTGTACCAGCATGGGTTTGGCCAATAAAATTAGTTTTGATTTGAGTTTGGCTCGTGGTTTGGATTACTATACGGGAGTCATCTATGAATGTGTACTTAAGTCGGAACCCAAAATTCTTGCCAATGGCAGTGGTGCAGCTGCAGAGGAACAAGGCACAGTGGGTTCTGTGGCCGGCGGTGGCCGTTATGACAATTTAGTCGGCATGTTTGATCCCAAAGGCAAACAAGTTCCATGTGTGGGCGTTTCCATTGGCGTGGAACGCATATTCTCCGTCATTGAGGCCAAGGCTGCAGCATCTGGTGTCAAGCAACGTACCAACGAGGTTGAGGTTTATGTGGCCTCAGCCCACAAGGGATTGCACGAGAAACGCCTTAGTATTCTCAATGATTTGTGGAATCAGGGTATTAAGGTAACCGAGTGAAATAAATTTTTTGTTTCTCAAAAAATCATTTTTGTTTTGCAAATTTTACTTTTAGGCCGAACATTCCTACAAACTAAATCCCAAGCTATTGGCCCAACTGCAGCATTGTGAAGAACAACAGATTCCTTTGGCTGTTGTTTTTGGAGATTCTGAACTGGAAAAAGGCATTGTCAAGTTGCGTGAAGTCACCACTCGCAAAGAGGATGAAATCCCTGTAGCCGAGTTGGCCAACGAAATTAAAAAGAGATTACGTAGCTAAGCTTAAAAAGACAGCACACAGACAGAGGCAAAGCATTTCACCAAACGGACTTTTCTTTTTTTATAGTTTATCATAACTTAATATTATTTATTTTATGTGTCGCAAGGCTTTAAATGATATTCGCTGAAGGAAAAGAAGTAAAACAAGAATACAGATTCACAAAAAAATAATCATTCAAATATGTGTTTTAATACCGGTTGGTTTAAGGGCCTCTTCTGTATCCAAATATATATATTTTATTTACAAAACTTCATATCCAAACGATGATAAACTTAGCTCTTTGGCGGTTTCTCTTTTTTGCTCCATATTTTCTTGCAGATCTCTGTGAAGCAACACCATCCCACCACCATAGACATTATCATCGCGAGTATTTCGTTTGAAAACAAACAATGCCCGATTTATTTGTAAATAGTTTTGTAAACGCTTCAATGCTCCTAAATGCACCCAAAAAGCCGGGCAAGCGTCGAGGCCGCAAACCCAAAGCTAAGAAACTACCCTCCATGTATGATACACAACAACCGCCTCCGCCACCTACACCCCAAATGCCCCAATTACCAGCGCAACTTTACAACGATTATGTCAACGAATACCAACATCCGTCACCGTACCCAACAGCTCCAGTTGGAGCGCCGCCGCCCCATCATCTTCACATGGCTCCAAGTCACTATAGTAACATGGGCTACGAAGACATGGCCGGTGGCAGTATGAACAAGGTGAGTGGCATGTGAATTAAATAAATGAAAAAAGGCTCAAATGTTTTCATTTGTATATTTTAAATTTAATCTCGAGAATTATTAAGATTTTTTAGGGTTTGTTTTGTTTCGTTTTTTTTATAATTATAATATTGTGTTCAAACATTTCTTTTGATCTATATTCTAGAGTTTACAACAAATGTAAGAATATGGATTATTATAAATTAATGCATTTATTTCCTTCGACTTCCACTTCAATCTCTGCTCCTTGTAATCTGTACCAATCGTCCCTTTCTGATTCTCCGTCATTTGTGTACGTCTTCCCTTAATCCTCCATATGTCGACACAAGAAATCGGCTGTCTGTTCTTCGTTCTTTTCACAGGCTATGTAGGCCTGAAGAACAATTTCTCGTGGGAATCCTAAGGCAACCAAACGATCTACAGCTTGTTTTTCCTCTTCGGTTAGGATTATTTCCACAACATCCTCTCTAGGCTCGGAACCAACACCGCCAAGAGATTCACTGGCGTCTCCGCCAACTCCGCTGCCGCCGCCACCACCGCCGCCGCTGACTTCTTCATTGAGCATGGCCACAAACTCATCTTGATTTTCGCGAATAACTGCCAACAAGGCTGGATTAGTTTCACCAATTCGGGCCAAGACACTGCTCAACAATTCCGGACGTTGTCGGATGACTCGGCGCATTTGATTGAAACGAGGATCTTCACGCAAGAAATTCAAGGGATTGGCTCCACCCGAACCAGCTCCGCCGCTTGGAGGATTAACTGTGGGTATAGAGGGTGGTGTGGTGCCCATTATATCCGGTATATCGGGAATGCCTTCAATCAAGTATTCAATGGCCCTATCGGGATTATTAAAACTGGCCAAAAGAGCTCGGCGTACATCTGATTCGGGGTAACCCATGCTCATGATTTCACGAACCATTGATTCATTGGCAGCAGCGGTGGGTGACACATCCATGACACCCAATATATTGCTGGCAGCACTGGACGACTCTCGGGCTGCTGGGGTACTTTCGCTGCCGGCTGTCGATGATGTTGTGCTGGTGGTAGTTGTTGCACCCGTTGCTGCCGGTGTTGTGTCCATTTCTTTAGGTTTGTCTTCAGTCTTTGGTTGTGTGGCAGCGGTTGCGGCAGCAGCCGGGGTTGATGTCGCTGCACCACTGGCACTCTGTTCACTAGTTTTTGTAGCCGGTTTAGTTGTTTCTTGTTCCGGTTCCTTGGTAGCTGCCGCAGCCGGTTGAGGCACCTTCTTGGCCATTACGACCAAAAATTTACGCTCATCAATACTATACGTTTTCAGGACCTGATCATTGTCCAGCACACGTCCGGCATACACGACTACTTGCAATTCCGGCTGGACACCGACTTCGGGCACAATTTGTGCCTTCAAGTCCCATACGGTTTTCGTTTCATCGAATTCCACATAGAATGTTTTCTGGTCGAGTGTTTTGATGGTCAATTTCATGATTCTTCTCAAATAATCTGGGCAATCGTTTTTCTTCCTCTTGTGTTTTTGCACAAATGTCGTGGAGCGAATAAATTCCTTATTTCGATAATCGGCTTTTGTTTGCTGTGTGTTTTTGTTGTTTTGCACAAATATGCCGTGCCCAAAATTGCAATTAATGTTTTACTTCTTATATTCTTGCTCTTGCTTGCTTTTCCGAAAGAATTTTCGCACACACAAACAAATATGACGGCAGCTTTAAAATAGGGACGACGATGTGTCAGCAATTGTTTCGTCGAACATATGTTTTTGACACATTCTATTTAGAGGTGGCAAACAATCGATGATGTTTTATTTTAAGTTGGACATTGCTATCGATGTTATCGGTAAAAAAATGTCTGCTCTACAAGAGAAATAATATATTAAATATAAGTTTCAGAATGATGCAGGAATGTAGCAATTTTATGACCATAACGGTGTTTTCTTTTATGATATCCTAAAAATAGTACTAACTAGTACTTTTTTGTTTTTGATACATTCTGTTTTGTTTGACAAATTCAACGGCGTTGCAAAATTTGAAAACACTTTTTGCGAAATCTGACATTCGGAGTTATGGTGGAATGCGGAAGAGTTGTATTTTGTGGTAGTAAGGATAGAATAAGAACAGTACACAGAGAAAATGTGAAAGAATGTTCGTGAGAGACAAAAATACACTTAGGATATGTTTACATCAAAGCAGATTAATTAAAACGCACACTTTATATTACCAATCTCTTTCATAAATAAACTAAATGTAATGTGTTGGCAATGCAATTTAAAAAAAAAACGAACATGAAATATCCTTCACCATTTGAAGGGAAAATTGCAAAATTATAAAAAAATCCATGGTAGAAGAATATAGGTAGACGCGTCGACACAGCTGCTGGGACAATGAACTGTCAAACCAATTTTGGAATTGAAAATGTTGAATGAAAAATAATTTAAATTTGTAAAAATTGTTGAAAAAACGCGAAATAAAGAGCCTCCGAATGACGTAGTATAAGAAAACATATAAAAATCTACTTATATTTGAAAAAAACATTTAACATTTTTTGACATATCAATGCTCCAAAGCGTTGATGCACCTACCTGTATTCTTCTGCCATGAAAAAATCGTTGAAAATAAACTTCAAAAATAATTAAAACAAGTTAAAAAGTAATGTTCGATTATTTAAATATATTTTGACTTCTGCTATGATTATTCGAATTGTTGACCCTCTATGGAGTGGGTTCCTCAGGAATGGCCCAATATTGTCAATTTCATATCGGACTAAATAAAGATGATATAAATATTGCCACGTGCCAGGTTTGAACTATGTCGACTACTTCCTTCACTTTATACGATATATTTGATAATTTTTAGAAAATTTTAAAATGTACGTGGGGTACCTGATATAGTCGACCGAAGTATTCCGTTTTCATACTTCATCTAATACAGATAAAAATATTGGTATTACGAGAAAATCGAATATTTATATCCAATTTTATTCGAAATCATAAATTCCATATTCATCACATATTTCTGGTTCAGAGAAATATTTAGATATAGCAAGATGTAAATAATCGCTGGCTTGTTTCGCAAGTTATGACATATACAAGTATTGAAAATTGTAAGGCTTTGTGGGTGAGGTAGCAGAAGGAGTTTGCAGATATATAACATCTTCACAACAGATCTTCAGTTAGTGTGTGTGAAATCTGAAGAGAGTTGGATGCTTATTTCGATTTCTTTAAGCATTTTTGTTTTTCAAAATCTTGAACTCTTTGTGTGGGTGGTACCAGAAGGAATGTTCCGATCTCTACCGTTTTTATAACAGATACTGTGTCGATAGAAACATTCAGATGTTTCAAGTCTAAATGGCATCGGATGTTGACTTTTATGAGCTTCATAAGTATTCAAAAATTTGACCCTTTGTATCTCGTACCATGGCCCGGTACCGTGAGACTGGTAGCATAGTCCGGCGTCAAGGAAGTGCGGCGTCGTCTGCTGAAACATCAGCAGAAATGGTTCGAAAAGTAAAGAAGCGACTTGATCGAAACCCGCGTTGCAGTGGCCGAAAAAAGGCTCGTGAGCTGAACATATCGCAATATTCCATTCGGCAAATATTGAAAAATGAACCATTGAAATTCCAAAAAGTGCGAGAGTTTACACTGCAACAGAAGGAAAATAGACTCAAAAGAGCTAAAGAGTTGCTTCGTTGGCCGAAAGTGGTGAACTGTCGAATTTGGTTTTCTCCGATGAGAACACATTCGTTGTCCAGCAGTTTGTAAACAAACAAAATGATCGTGTTTACTTGCCAAAGAGGTCAGCTGAAAATGTGCACCTTCGGTTGGCCACCAGAATTCAAGCGCCAGCCATGGTGATGGTGTAGGCCGCCATAACAGCCGATGGTCCCTCTCCGCTCGTATTAATCGACCGTGACATCAGAATAAATGTCGAAAATAATCGTGAAAATATTCTGGAGGGTTAAAGCCTTGGGCACTCAAACATTTTGGCCACAGACCTTGGACATTCCAACAGGACTCAGCACCATCGGACTCAGCACGCGCCACCCAAAAATGGTTACAAAATGAGTTTCCTCGCTTCATTTCCAGCGCACAATGGCCACCAAAATCTCCAGATACCAAATCCATTGGACTATTGTGTCCGGAGTATTTTGGAAAGAAAGGTTGGCACTAAAAATACCATAGTGTCGATCACCTCAAGCAAGCGCCGGGAATGGGCCAAAATACCGTAGAGCAACATTCGGGCAGCTTGTAACGATTTCATTGGCCGTTTGAAGGCCATAATTCGTGCCAAAGTTGACCAATTCGAACAAATCTAAACTTATTCTAAAAATTGATGCCATTTCCGACATTTTTTGCTTTCATTTAATAAAATTTAAAAAAAAAATGTCAAAGTTATGACGTTTGATTTTGTTGCAGTTTTTTTATCTCACCCTATATACCCTCTCTAGCCAAAAAAAAATGCAGTTTGGATTGACTTAGCGCAATTTTACCCTTAACTGAAACAAAATCCACATAAATTCCCGGAAAAAATTGCACTTTAATACCTTAATTCTATGTTCAATTTCAAATTTTAAAATAACCAGCAATCATTGTGCGGTGATTTTGATAGTTCCACTTTAAAATATGAGTCACAAAGTTTGAATTGCTTCATCCTCTTTATTTCCTTCAATAAGTTTGCATATTTATCGGTAATCTATCAGCAAATATTTACATAAAGCATTAAATTGACACACTAACGCTGGCCATGGACCGCAATATCCGAAAACGTCCCTCCACATTTGAAACAAAAAAAATCAATCTCCACATCTTTTCGAAAAGACAAACTAAACCAGATATTACCAACAGGAGTCAACCGGTAGCTGCTGCATTTAATCCGAATTTAGACATTAATTTTATTGTTTCCCAGTTTGTTTGTCATTGACAAACCACGGATGTTAAACAATAGACGCCAGGAGTGGAAGAGTAGTTTTAAGGGTAACAACGGCTCGTAAAAGAAGAGTGGCGAGAAAAAAGCAAAGGTTTCGTTTTAATTAGGGGTTGCTGGTCATTATGCAATGTATGGGTGATCCAGGTATATACCCTGACAAGGTTAACGTAATTCGGATTTGAATTTAGTGGTTGCTTTTGTATTCGTTGCTTAAATTTCATTAAATTATTTCTTCTTTTTTTCACACATGTCTGCATGTGTATGTGTTTCTCGGTAATAAATCGATTATCCAGCGATAATGTCTGATAGAAATATTCCCCTCAAAAATCGTTAAATCTTATTTGCTTTCATTATCTTGGTTGACCAGATATTGCTGGAGACACGTGACCTTTCTAATGGCCTTTGTCGCATGTTCCAGCTAAGCTATTCGGTAAATACACTCGAAAATGGATGCTGCTCGAAATGGGAAAGTGACAAGTTAAATAGTAGCAATCGGTTTTACCGATAGATGTACAGGGTGAGATAAAAAAGCTCAAATGGCAAAAATTTTTACTTTTATAGAATGAAAGCAAAAAGTGTCGGAAATTGCATCAAATTTTAGAATAAGTTTAGATTTATTCGAATTGGTCACCTTTGTCAGGAATTATGGCCTTCAAAGGGCCAATGGCACCGTCAGACGCTGCCCTAATGTTGCTCTGCGGTATTTTGGCCCATTCCCGGAGAAGCGCTTACTGGAGATAATCGACACTTTAGTATTTTTTAGTGCCAACCTTGCTTTCCAAAATACTCCAGACACAATAGTCCAACGGATTGGTATCCGGAGATTTTGGTGGCCATTGTGCGCTGGAAATGAAGCGAGGAATCTCATTTTGTAACCATTCTTGCGCGGCACGTGCTAAGTAATGGCGATGGTGCTGAGTTCTGTTAGAATGTCCCAGGTCTGCGGCCAAAATATTTGCGTGCCTGAGGCTTAAATACACCTTCCACAATATTTTCGCGATAATATTCGGCATTTATTCTGATGCCACGTTCGATTAATACGAGCGGAGAGAGAGCTACCATCGGCTGTTATGGTGGCCCCCACCATCACCATGACCGGCGCTTGAGTTCTAGTGGCCAACCGATGGTGCACATTTTCAGCTGACCTCTTTGGCAAGTAAACACGATCACTTTGTTTGTTTACAAACTGCTGGACAACGAATGTTTTCTCATCGGAGAAAACCAAATTCGGCAGTTCACCAGTTTCGGCCAAGCGAAGCAACTTTTTAGCTCTTTTGAGCCTATTTTCTTTCTGTTGCGGTGTAAGTTCTTGCATTTTTGGCAATTTCAATGGCTTTACCTCGAGCTCATTTTTCAATATTTGCCGAATGGAATATTGTGATATGTTCAGCTCAGGAGCCATTTTTCGACCACCCCGCGTCTCGGGTTTTTATCAAATCGCTTTTTTACTTTTCGAACAATTTCTGCTGACGTTGCTGTTTTCTTCCGTCCACTTCCTTGACGTCGGACTACGCTACCAGTATCTCGGTAACGATCGATGGTACGAGACACAAAAGATTAACCATATTTAAATGCTGGAGTGCTCTAACGATAGCCACTTGTGGCTATCACACTATCCCGCGTGAATTCACGAATATTTTTTTTCCTGAAAATTCTCACCAAAATGATTTTGTACGCTTGTAAACAATATAATGAGCTGTCACTGGAATAATTTTAACAGCTGGCGGACGAGTGGTTTAGAAATGACAGCAGTCTGAAGTTGGTTGCAGCTTTTTCATCTCATGCTGTATTATTCTTATACTATCATTATTTTTTGAGTGAATATTCTCTCTCTCTCTCTCTCTCTCTCTCTCTTAGATTTTTTTTTTCACTTGAAATGTAGCAAAAATTTTTAGTTAGCTTGGCTTGACTCCTCATTTTTTTGTTTGTGAGATAATTTTTCTTGGCATTGTTCGGCATTGAATTCATATTTATTGGTGTGAAATTTTAAAATTGTAACAATGCCATAAAAAAGGGTTCATATTTCGGTGGTGGCAAACAAGGGTTGACTTCTCTCCTCTCCTCAGGCGACAATTCAAAAGTTAACATTGCAAAGAAATACAATCAATTCAATATTTATGGCCAAGCGGCGGCTGACCGAGAATTCCCAACAATGATTTTGAACGAATTTAAAGAATAAAACCCGATGAGCTGCTCATAATGGGTGTTGACGCATTGTAAAGTCAATAACGATAAGCATCAAGGGCACACGTTTCGCTACCAGGCAAATGTGCAATTTTAAGCGGTGAAACACGTGCTTTAAAAAAATCGTTTTTGATTTCCGTTTAAAAGTTTTCAAAATATCGATAAAACTTGGCAATTTCCGTTTTTCTTTTGCGTAGCTACTCCTGCTGCTCCCTCTGTCCCAAAAGTTGGCAACATTTATTTTAATCATTTATCTTAATTTCATTCATTTCATTAGGACCTCTTTTCATGCTCAAAACATGTTCACTCGAACTAATGCGGTAATTAAGTTATTCCCCCTTTGGGCTATGAATCCTAAATTTGGACACTATTCCCAGTTATTTTTCGCAGGAAAAAGGAAAAAATCTGCCATTTACTAAACACAAATCTTTGTAAGTCACGTCTGACATTACCGAAAAAAGTGACCAACTGCAATAAATCAGTGTTTTTAGCATTTTCGAAATGCCTAAACAGCCTTCCATTGGTCGGCTAGTGTACAACATTTCTCATTGCCAGCGAAAGAAAGGGGTTTGTTTTGAATTTCCCCAAGGAGTGATACGTTAAAATTGTAAGCAGATGGAATGTTGTTGTTTCGTATGTCCGATCCCCTCTATCCCATTAATGAATGTTTTATGTTTTGTGGCAGCAGATTTATTTGCTATTTTTTGTTTTTTTTTTTTTTTGAATAGAAAACAATGAAAAATCATGGCCTTTTTGGGTTAGAAAAACAGGTTTTTTGTTTTCTTTCCTAGTTTTGGTGATTTATCATTTTCCTACAGTACACAAAGGAAGTTATCACAAAAAAATTATATTGAGAATCTTTTTCTTGATGACAGTAACTTGAATTCACAGTGAAAACAGGTTCTTACCACCTTGAGAAAGAGAGGGTTATTTGGAACATAATTTGATAGGATTTTTAACAAAGACCTAAAATGGTAAAGACTAGAGAAATGCATTTTGAACCAATGTTTTGTGTCTGCAATACATAGAGTAACACCTCATGACAGAGACTTGTTAATATAAAAACCACAATTACAGAAACAAAGCATAAATAAAAGTTGGAAAAATCCAAAAATGGGATTTCGTAATTCTGTTCAATAGTCCTTTCCAAAAATTTGCATATTGACTTGGTTTTTAATAAAGAGAACATAATCAGAACAGAAATCTATTCGGCTCGACTGGAGCAATGTAAAGCGAGAAAAAAATACAACCGCTTCGTTTGGATGTAGATTCAATTCTAGATCCGGCTCGAAGGACCAACGTTTTTAAGAATGAGAACGTAATCCAACCTCTCTCTTCGATTGTCAGTTCTATTCTCTATTCGGCTCAACTGGAGCAATGTAAAGCGAGAAAAGAATACAACTGCTTCGTTTGGGTGTAGTTTCAATTCTAGATCCGGCTCGAAGGACTAATGTTTTTAATAATGAGAACAGATTCCAACCTCCCTCTTCGATTGTCAATTCTATTCTTTATTCGACTCGACTGGAGCAATGTAAAGCGAGAAAAGAATACAACCGCTTCGTTTGGGTGTAGATTCAATTCTAGTTTTTATTTAAAAATATGTTCCTTAAGTCCGATTGAAAGTAGTCTAACTTAACCTAATTGCAGCCACGCAATTATACAACTCTCCCACACAGGCGTGTCAGGAATGACAAACACGATCTAGAGAGGGAATTCCAACACTATAAGAGAGAACATCTAGATGAAGAAACCCTTAGGTCTTGGAAAAAAAATTCTTTACTTTTATATATTTGAAAATTGTTTTTAAATCCACTTTAACTTTACGATTTTCTTAGAAATGTACTTTAGAAAAAAATAATATGACATTCACTTTTATAACGTATTTTTTATAAACAAACATTACATTATCTTTTATAATTTTTACCAAAAAATTCATAAAAATAAAAAAATTATGTCATAATTGCAATATGTTAATGACTGTAGGTTATGAAGTTTAGTCATGTCGATTTAGTCAGGATTTTACGTTTGTTTTAATAATGTTTCTGTTTACGAAAGAAAAAACAAGAACGATTAAGTGTGAACATAGTATAAACAGCCAGCCATGAAACAGCTGATCAAAATAATAATTCAAATGTGCAAAATTATACTGAGCACTTTTTCTCATAGCATCTTTTTAACTCTCAACAAAATCAAAATTTTCTCTTATTTAGCTTTGTTTTGTAAAAGGGCAATATCCACTTAAATTTCGCAACAATTTTTACGAAATGTAGAGTAAACCGATGCCGATAATACATAACAGAAGTTGTTGTGGCATCTACTCAAACGACTATACAAATTTCTCTCTGTGCACGACCAACCACCACATTATTGCCTTTCTGTGTCGCTGGCGGCATTGCCAGCTAAAAATAACAAAATGCAAACGTGCTAAAATGTCAGCAATTTTCGGAGTGAATGTCAGAGGCGAGTGTATGAGTATGTGTGCGTGTTTTGACAGACTCGCATGCATGTATTTTAATTGTTATTTATTCCAAACCAACCAAAATTAGCTTTGCTTGCCGACGAATTGCGCGGTGGTGAAATAAAACCAAATAACTTTCGTACATTTAAGATGAAACTCCAAGTGAAAACCCTGAATCAAAAGTGTCTCGTTGTGGAAATCGACGAGGATAAAACAGTCTATGAATTGAAGAAAGAGCTGTCACTCTATCCAGACATTGGTGTCAATCCGGAATTGCAGAAATTGATTTATGCCGGTAAAATACTCAACAATGAAGATAAAATCAGTTCGTACAACATCGATGTAAAGAAATTTCTGGTCATTATGATTCTGAAGCAACCTTTACCGGTGCCAACCCCAACCCCACCTAAAAAGGAAGCCGAAGAGAAGCCAGCCACTGAAGCTACCTCTGCCACAACACCAAAAGAAACCAAAACACCAACAACAGAAACGGAGTTTAGAACTCCAACAGCACCAGCTCCGGCTGCAGCAACAACACCATCAACTCCGGCAGCAACAACAAATCCCGAAACCGAGGCAATGGTTGCTCAAATTGTTAGTATGGGTTATGTGGAGCACGATGTACGAAGAGCTCTAAAGGCTAGTTTCAACAATCCCGAACGGGCCATTGAATATCTTATAGAAGGTATACCTACCTCCCCATCTACCCCTGAGGGTGATAGCTACACAGACACAGATGCCGATCTTTCCATGACACCTTTTGAGGTGTTTCGTGGCGATCCGGTGTTTCAAAATCTACGCAGTGCCCTACAACAGCATCCGGAATTAATCGATGCTGCCATCCAAAGAATCGGTGAAACAAATCCAGCCCTTTTGGAGTTGATTAGTGAAAATCAACAGGAATTCCTCAGCATGCTGATAGATGGCTCGGATGATGACGAAGACGACGACGACGAAGAAGACGATGACGATGAGTAGACAAGTTGGTGCCTTAAATGGAACAAAAATGGAATATTTTTGTAACATCAGTTGTATGATAATTTATTTATAATTGTAAATTTTTGTTTTTCCTTTTACCACCATTGCTGTTAGTTTTATTTCAATAGATTGTTATTGAAGATAATTGCAGTGGTGATGATGATATTTGTAAAATATCCCATTTCATATGAATTTAAATGTTTATAGCTACCTACATAAATACTTTTTCATTCGAATAAATCGAAATAATAAGTACAAATAATCAAAGGTTTTCTGTGGATGAACGAATGAATGTCTGCAAATTTTCCAGAATTTCAATGATGAACAGAAAGAGGTTTTAAAAAATCAATGTTTTGAAATTAGCACGTGGTGTTTGTGTGTATATGCTTATTGCTAATCTACACTCAAATTCGCTTTGTTTGTGTTGTGCGATTAAAACAACGTAATGGAAATATCGTTTGGATTTTTTCTTTTCATTTGCCATAGAGCGTAGAATTCCAAAATAATGAAAACTTCAAAAGTTAATAATATTGAAAATTTTTATGATCTGCTGTTCTTTCATGAATTTAACATTTATTTTTAGATCCTAAAAGTTTTTTTGAGGATATAAATGGGCCACTTAAATTAGCCTCATACCTTACCTCTACGAGTGTAGTGTGTATACTTTATTATAATAGAATGTATGTACATATGTCGGTGGTTTTGAAAGTTTAGAATAAATTGAGGTACCACGTTGTTGTCTTTTAGAGAGTTTTCTATAAAATGTCTATATTAATTGTTGCAAAATATATCTCTAATATTAGAGTCGCCTTGTATAATTTTTTATAATTTAAAACAGCTTGGCCTAAGAGCGAAAATTCTTTTGAAGTTTTGATCTACAAAACCGATTACTTTCAAATTCGCATGGAGCTTTTCACAACCCAAATTGGCTATTGGTTAGTGAAATTATAAGAAGATTTATACTAAATTGAGGATATTCTTTATGTTACATATTGTAAGTTCCTAAAAACTATTAAATATATATATCGCGAAATGTTGTGTACAGTACTTATTATTTGGACACCTTTCGCTTGATACGACATTTTATGTTACTTTCGGTCTTCAAATCGAAAAAAGTCCGAGGAAAAATTGATAAAATTAATTGGCGAACATTAATGCCAATTTTTTTTTTGATATATAATGGAAATAGGGATTTCTCTTCCTTGCTGACTTATTGATGATGAAGAATATGTTTGTCCTTTTCGTCAATCTTCTAAAATAATGCTTCTGAATTTTGCACAAAATTACATCAAGTGTGGCTTTGACCCCAGAATGTGTTTTTTTATTTTTGAATTCCTGACTTAGACTCTTGACGTCTTCTAGGACACATAATAGAAATTTATGACAAATAATTTTGTAGAATACCATTTAGACGGCGTTTTTATAATCGAGTTTTTAAATTTAATACAGGCCTTTGGGTTACATGTAGAATATGGGTCATGTCAGTCCATGTTTTGTTATAGCGCCCCGAATTAGAACATACACCGATTTTGAGTATTTTTTACATTTTAGCGATATTTTTTATATTTCTTTGGTAATTTGAGTTCTTGTCGAGAAGAAACCATCATCGCAAATAAATATATATCAATATAGTCTTACGTTTGGGTTTAACTCTCATGTGAAAATATATCCTGATTTCAGCTATTTCCAGGGTCTCGGCTACATTTTTCAATTAATTTGACCCTTATTTTCTTTTTGGTTTCTAAACCTTTTCACGAAAATGTTTAATGTGTATCAATGTTTCGGAGTAGCATCCATATAAAAGCAACACCTGATTTTACCTATCTAGGGTGCTCTGGAGGTAGATAACTATCTTGCAGAAAAATTTAATTCCCGACACAACGGTATCGCCCAAGTCCACGTTCCCAAGCAAAATTCTCTACTGGATGAGAAATTTTAAGTGCCGGTAATTGTATTGGTTAATTACAGCAAATCTGTTGAACGATTTTAAATTCTCGTGCCAGTTTTTCATATTATAATATAGTCTCACATATTATATCGTATTCGAAGAATATCCTGCGCAAAAGACTTTTTTTCGTGAAATAATTCACGTTTCTAAAAATCGGATACTGTCCTAGGGAAAAAATTAAAAGTCCAGTATATTCATTTTGATCTTTAAATATCCAACGTTATTAAAATTAAAAATTGTATTTGACAAAAAAATATTAATTATTCCTGGGCGTTGCAGTTTGTCCTTTAAGCAATCCACGCATATAATCATCAGAGAAGCTCTTCCTATTTAATCTAAATCAAATATAATCTTATATAAAAAAAAAACAAAGAATCCAGGAGATCACGGGTTGTTCTTGAAATAATCCATAAATCAAAAAAAGTCTTTGAAAAAAAAAAAAAATAAAAAAATCATGAACATATCGATTTATTTTATAATTACTTAAAGACATTTCTAAAAAATCGAGGCCAATGATATCCTTTTCATGGAAATAGTAATCAAAAATTAGTCCTTCAAAAAATATTGAACAAATCCAAAACATTTAATTCTGCTTTTTTTAAATTATGCAATCTTAGAAAAATTGGGATAGTCCTTGTTTTTTTTTTTTTTTAATACAGGACTTTACATCTTGTCCTTAAAATAATCCACGCTTATACCAATCAAAGAAAGTTCTCCAAAAAAAAAAAAAAAAAAAAAAAATTAAAACATCAGGAACGTCTAATTTTGTTCGTTAAATTATTCAAGCTCATAAAAATCGAAGATAGTGGTTCAAAAAAAAATATTTAAAAATTTGAAATTTTCTTAAAACTAAACAGTTAATAATCAAAAGAAGTCCTTTGATAAAACCCTAAAAATTTTAGATCTTTTAATCTTCTTTAAAAAATTAAAGATAGACTTAAAAACAAATAAAAAATCCGAAGACCTTTTTGTCTTTAATATAATCCATATTTCTTAAATCAAAGAAGTTTCTTGGAAAAAAATGTTAAAAAAAATTCAGGATATCTTGATTTGATCTTTTAAAAATAAAAAATATTTGAAAAGCTAGGATGTTACATATTGTTCCCAAAATGAACCAAACTAAAAAATTTAAGTCTTTTGAAAAAATTGTTAAAGATCCACGACATCTCACTTCCTTTTTTTGTTATATCCACGTTTTTAAAAACCAAGGATTGCCTTTAAAAAAATCAAAAATACAAGATACAGATTTTTTTTAAGAAAAACAAAGATGTTTTTAAAAATCATAAAAATCGAGCACGTAACCTTTTTATACCCTCCGCCATAGTATGGAGAGTATATTAAGTTTGTCATTCCGCTTGTAACACCTCGAAATATACATTTTAGACCCCACAAAGTATATGTATATATTCTTGATAAGCATACAATTCTATGTTGATTTAGCGAGGTCCGTCCGTCTATCAGTCTGTGGAAACCACTCTAGCTTCCGAACAAAATGAAGTAGATTGATAAAATTTTACTCAAATATATATTATGTCTTCATGACTTTTGGTGTTGAAAATAGGCCACCAAAAACCAAAACGTGGACCTAGTTTTGGTATTGCCCCATATAATGGTACTTCCCGATATCCGGTATTTTGATGCTTTTAGCGACATTATTCACCCGAAATTGTTTCAAATTTGGTATTTGAAGTTCGTAATGGATACTACAGCATAAGATAGAAAATTGTTTGTGCAGGTCCACGTCTTCGTAAGCCTTCATATAACGGCGCTTCCCGATATTCGGTATTTTGATGATTTAAGCGACATTTTTCACCGTAATTGGTATTTTAAGTTCGTAATATATACTATAGCCTAAGACAGAATATTGTCTGTGCATATCCCCATATAACGGCACATGCCGATATTTGGTATTTTGATTATTTTAGCCACATTTTTCACCGGAATTGTTTGATATTTGGTATTTAAATACCGTAAGGAATATACTACAGCCTATGACAGAAAATTGCCTGTGCAGGTTGGGTATAGCCCCCATATAATGGTACCTCCCTATATTCGGTATTTTGATAATTTTAGCACATTTTTCACCCATTTTTTTCAAGCTTTACATTTGAATATTGTAATGGCTTATGACAAAAGTTGGGTATGCAGGTCCATGTCGTTGTATAGACCCTAATATAAGGGCTACATTAGGTATTTTTTAAGATTTTAACAGAATTTTTATAGGAATTTATTTTTTTTTTTGAAAATTGCTAAGTCCGTTCCAAATGGTGGAGGGTACTCAAAGTTCGGCCCGGCCGAACTTACAGCTTTTTTACATGTTTTGAACGTTTTTAAGAACCAAAGATAGTCTTTGAAAAAAATCGAAAATAATAGATATAATATTATTTTTTTAAATAAAAAAACGTTTTTGTTGACAACATTTTTTGTTAAAAATCGAGGAAGCTCCTGCAAAAATAGCTCCTTGAAATAAGCCACGCCATGAAAATCTAAGTCTTTCGAAAAAATTGTTCAAAAATTAAAATTTTAAAATTAAATTTTTTTAAATATCCATGCTTTCAAAAACAAAAGATAGTCTTTGAAAAAAAAAAAAAAAAATAAAATAAATGATATGCAATTATTTGGGAAAAGCTCAAAAACCAGAACAATACAATTTTTTCTCTTCAAAAAAAAAAAATAAATAAATAAATAAATAAATAAATAAATAAATAAAATAAATAAATAATAAAAAATCATGGATTTTCAAAGATCGTGAAATCGTAATTTGAACCACTTTAAAAATCATAAAAATCCAGGATATTTTATTTTGAAATTATCCACGCTCATAACAATAAAGATAATCCTTGAAAAAATGTTAGTTGTCCTTTGAAATATCTACATTAATTACAATCAAAACTATTACGAGAAAAACATTTTTAAGGCAAGGAGATTCATAGTTTATCTTCAAATCCGCTCTTATGATACCCAAAGATGAATAACTTAGAACGTTTTATACATCATTCGTAAGTAATTTTGTGTCCAATCTAATTTTAATTAGCCAATAAATAATCTCTGTATACAATACCTCTACGAAATTTCTTTTAATTACAATGAAATTAATTGCATACCTTTTATTTGAGCACTTGCATTGCAGAACTGGAAAAAATGAATTGGTACTTGAAGAACCAATTAAATGCGAGCCAGCGAAATCATCATCCCCTGCAATTGTCCACCTTTTCCATATTGAGACAATCTCAATTTATTTGTACGTAAAAATTTTACGTGTGTGTCCGTGCGTGCGTTCGTATGCCACTGACGGCAGCAAGGACATTTATTGTGAGTTA